ACACCACTCCTGTATTCCTGTTTAATATAGTTCTCAAAATATTTTGTGTTTTTGAGACAGAGTCTCTATGCAGTTCAGGCTGACCTTGAACTTACCTTATATCCCAGGCCGGTCTCGAACTCGCAACAATCCTCCTGCCTCAGCTTCCTGAGTGCTGGGATTACAGGCGTGAGCCACTATGCCCAGCATAGTTCTCAAAATATTAACCAGAGCAATTAAGCAAGAGAGAAAAGATGTGCATAGGAAATGAAGTTAAATTATCATTATTTGAAAATAATGATCTTCTATATACAAGACCCTAAAATCTCCACCAAAAGATTCCTACAAATAATTACTAAACTTAGTAGCATAGCTGGATACAAAGTCAACTCCCCAAATCCATAGCTTTCTTGTACTCCACAGTAAGCTCCTCAAGAGAGGAGCCAGGGAAAAAGTACCTCTCACGATAGCATCAAGAAGAATGAAATACGTAGGAACTTACCTAAAGAAGGATGTGAAACTAATGCAAGCAGTCCTGAAATTCACAGGGAACCTGCAGAGACCTAGCAGAGCAAAGGCAATTTGAGGGAACAAAAGAGAGGCGGTTATAACAACCCCAGCTTTGAAGTTATACTTCAAAGCTATAGTGATAAAAATAGCAGAGCGTTGGCACACATCCACAAGAAAACAGATTTGTGATCAAAGGGCAGAATAGAAGATGCAGAAATAACTCCAAGGCACACTGAGCTTTCTTTACAAAGGGGCCAGATATTCTCGCTAGAGGGAAGACAGCCTCTTTAACAAATGGTGCTGGAAACACTGGCTTCCCACCTATGGGAGGTGGAAGCTAGACCCATCTCATCGTGAGGCGAAGGGCCATACCTAAGTACATCACTGAAAAGCAAGCAGCTAAAGAGATATCTGTATGAGCAACAAAGTCTTGCTGGGCGTTGTGGTGGACACCTGTAATCCCAGAACTCAGGAGGCTGAGCCAGGAAGACTACTGTTAGTTGAAGGCCAGCCTGAACTGCACAGTGAGATTCTAAAAAAAAAAAAAGTCCACATAGTAAGTGTCCACAAACCTCAGCACAAAACAAGACAGTAATGGAAACATAAAAAAAGGCAACAAAATAACTCCCTACTCAGCCAAAGCAATCCAATTACTCAAAAGGTTAAAGGAGGTATAGAAAACGGATCAAAGAGGTAACTGAGTGGAATCAAAGGCCTAATGTCTAGAATATATAAAAAACTGAAAAGGAGCCGCGTCCTGCACCTTCCATCCATCTCCATCACTCGCTTCGATCGCTCAGCAAAGCCCCAGCAGCCAGAAGTGCCACAGAGCCATAGTGAAGAGGCCTTTCAGCCTTGGCTGGGGCAGGAGACGAACTTTCAGCAGTTGATTTCTCAGCCACATGGTGTGGGCCTTCCTTTCATTCCTTGGCTGAAAAATATCCCCACATGTTGTTCCTTGAAGGACATGTGAGTGGCTGTCAGGATGTCACTACAGACTGTGAAGTCAAATGCTGGCCAACCTTCCAGGGTTTCCTTTTTTCGGTCCCGGGGATTGAACTCACAGCTTTGAGTGTGCGAAGCTGGCGCTCATACCGCTGAGCTAAACCCCTGGCCTCCTTCCGGTGTTTTAATAGGGTAAAAAGTCTCCAGGCACTAAGGAAAAGCTTGAAGCTACCCACTAATGAACTAGTCTAACTGTGTTTTCTGAAGAACACAAACAGCTATCAGCTGTTTAAAACCTAATTTACTCAACTGCCATCTGATTATAAATGACAATAAAATACTAATTCTACCCTTTAAAAAACACTTTAAAAAAGGAAGGATTGCCCCCCAAAAAAGAAAAATCCCAGTAGAAAAGTTGACAACTGCAATAAGCAGACACTTCTCAGATGAAGAAGTACAAATGGCCAATAAATACCTGAAAAAATGTTCAGCATCTCTGGCCACTGGGAAAATGCAAAGTAAACACCGAGGGACAGGCTTATAGGTCAGCAGCAAAGTGCAAGGTCCTGAGTTCGATTCCAGTAGCAAAGCAAAAGCAAAACCAACAGTGAGATTCCACCTCACTCCAGAAGGAATGGCTGTCTTTAAGAAATTAAATAACACCATCTGGCATGGCTGTGGGGAAAAAGGAACCCTTCTTCATTGTGGGTAGGAGCATAGACTGGTGCAATCACTGTGGAAATCAGGGTGGAGCTTGTGCAAAATCTAGGGCCGCTGTGCTTGCTCTTGCGTGGTGATGATTCGCATCCTCTTGCTGTGATTCCACAGAAGACTAAAAACAGAAATTCCGGGGCTGGGGATTTAGCTCAGCGGCTTAAGTGCCTGCCTTGCAAGCAGGCAGTCATGAGTTCGATCCCCGGTACCGATAAAAAGGAAAAAGACCAAAAAAAAAAAAAAAAAAACAAAACAAAACAGAAATTCCATATGACTCAGCAGTTCCTCTTGTAGAAATCGTCCTGAAAGTTAGAAATGTCGTGTTATAGTAACCCACAAACACCCATGTTTATAGCAGCAAGATTCATAGTAGTTAAAGTTTAGAAGCAGCCTATGTGTCTGTCAACAGATGATGGATAAAGGAAAGGTATTTACACACAATTTGGCCCTCAAAAGGATAAACTTGAGTCTTTTGTAGGAAAACGAGTGCTCCTTGGAATCTCCAAGAGTTGCATCCCCAAAAGAAAAGACCCAGTCAAAAAGTGGGCAATGGACATGAACAGACACTTTTCAGATATAGATGTACAAATGTCCAATAAATACATGAAAAAATGTAGACACATGGTCAGGCATGCTGGCTCACATCTGGAATCCCAGCACTTGGAGGCTGAGGCAGGAAGATTGCTGTGAGTTCAAGGCCAGCCTGGGCCACATAGTGAACTCAGTAACAGCCTGAACTACATAATGAGACTTTGTCTCAAAAAATTAAAAAATAACCCAATATATTAAATAAGTGCAAAATAGACAATAGAGGGGGAAAAGTGAAAAAAGTTACTGTAATGCAGCATGGCCAATGTATCTAAAAGTATACCTGGATTTTTAAGTGTGTTTTTCTGTGTGTGTGTGTGGGGGTGGGGATCAAACCCAGGGCCTTGTACACACAAGGCAAGAATTGTACCACAGATACCCATTCCCAGCCCAAATTTTCTTGTTTTTGTTATTTATTTATTTACTTACTTACTTACTTATTTTGAGACAGTTTCACTATGCAGTTTAGGATGGCCTTGAACTCACTTTTATTGATCCTCAGTACCAAAAAAAAAAAAAAAAAAAAAAGCCTCACACGGTGGGTGAGCAAAAACAGAATAGAAGCACCCTCAGGCAGTCAGGCAGTCTCTCTCTCTTTCTCCTCCCCAGGTTTTCTTGACCCTTACCTCCCTTCCCCTACACCCATCACTAATTCTTTTCAATCCTGAGCCCCTTAAATCTGATCTCCCATGTAGCCTTCCGCATAGGAGCTTTTGGCCCCAGGTTATCACACTAGCGGCTGTGAAGTTGCTGATGATGACCCTGGCTCTGTCCACTTCCGTGAAGTCCACCTGCAAAGTTATGAGGTAGGAAAAAGACAACCCAGTATTATTAGAAACCTATGCAGGCACGTAGGTAGAAGCCTGTAATACCAGCACTTGGGAGGCTGTCAGGAGCATGTCCTGGAATTGTAGGCCAGTGTAGGGTACATAGTGAGTTCAAGGCCAGCCTGGACTACATAGTGAGACCCTGTCTCAGAGCGGGGGGGGGGGGGGGGGGGAATGATAGTAAACGTGGTCAGGTCATGCACACAAGAGAGAATACAACCAGAGGAAGACTCACAGCTTCATGAGCTGTCAAGAAATTGTTAGATTAGGACTGGATCACCTGACTGGCAAACTGTAAGGTCATGAGTTTGATTCCTGGCACACACACACACACACAAATTGTTAGATTAAGGCTTTAAAATTGAAATAATAACTTCATTCTCATTCAAATGGTGAAAATCAACTGTACATGATCCCCACACTTTGGGAGGCTGAGGCAGGAGGATTGCCAATTGAAAGCCATCCCCTTCTATTTAAGGAGACCCTGTCTTAGAATAAAACATGGACCAGGGAGGCAGCACGGGCAAAGGCCACAGAGTTTACCCCCTGCAACCCGTACACACGCACACACACTCATGCCCGCATGCCAGCTGTTGGAGAAGCTGCGGTGTCCCGCGCACAAAGGGCGCAGCCGCCCCAGGGTCCTCGCAACCGGCTCTGGGCGTGGAAATGGGGTTTCCCCTCAGTGCAGCTGCAGAGAAGAGAGCGGTCTGGGAGCTGAGGCGCAGCGTGATGTGGCGCTTTCCTCACATAAAATCCACCGGTTTCTAAAAGTACGCGAGTGACAGCCAGAGAGCACGTGTGCTCAGGCAGGGGGCGTCCCGGGCCCTGGGAGTGGTTAGCAAGGCACAGTTCGCTCCGGAAAAGCGGTTTTGTCCAGCAGCACTTGGGCATGCACACGGGGAGAGAATGTTGACCCCAATGCCTTTGCGCTGTGCTGTGCACACCTCCAGCCTGCTTTTATTTTTTATTTTGAGGCAGGGTCTTGCTGAACGGCGGGCACCACTCTTGGACCCCAGGCGTTGGCCGTGCCTCTAACCCCGCGCCCACAGCGCCTCCGCCTGCTCCGTGCCGCGTTCCCCGCCTCCCCGCCGGGTGGCAGCAATGACCCCACCCCCACCCTGGCTGCGTCTCCAGCCCCGGGGTCTAAAGGCCAGTGCGGGCTCCCCACCAGTGTTCCCCGCCCTCCCAGTGGCGCCCAGGGCGGACATGCGGTTGAGATGCCAAACTGCCAGCGGGTCAGGGACCCTCTGGCTCGTGCCCCCGTGTGTCCTAGCAGGAGGACACCACCCAGGGCTCAGTGGCCCTGGCCAGGATATTTAATGCCCAGCGGGTGGCGCCACGACGTGCAGGTATATTGTTTGTGCCAAGCCTATCTACCCTTGCTTCGGCCTCTAGGCGCCTGGCTTCAACTCCCTGGCATCGGGCAAGACCTACCTGCCCCACTCTGGGGCCTGGCTGCCCACTCCCTGCCCTCGTGGGGCCTCTGCTGCATTTCTGTCGCTGCCCCTGTCCCGTGTCCTCGTCCTCCATATCTGTCTGTGTTGTACCCCGCAGTCCTCTGCACCTTTCTCTTCCCTGCTCTCCGGTGCCCACCTCTCCGTGTGTCTCTGTCTGCATCACCATCTGTCTGAGATGGAGGGTCCTGGCCCGCGTCTTTTTCTCCGTCTCTGTCTCTATTCCCCACCCCCGGGTGTGTGTTCCTGTTTCTGTGCACAGGGATCCGTGTGCGTCTCCGTGTTTTCCTGCACTCTGCCTCAACTTTGTTCCTCCTCCCTGTCCCTCAGTGTGTGCCCTTTCCTGTGGGAGTGACATTTGTGTGGTGTGTGGCTGAGAAGTGATCCCCAAGCCTATGCACTGAGCTCCACTCCCAGCTCTTTCTTATTCTTTGCTTTGAGACTGGATCTCACTAAGTCACTAAGCTCCCCAGGCAGGCTGGGTTTGAAATTGCGGCCCTCCAGCCTCAGCCTCCCAGAGTGCTGGGATGACAGCCACACCAGCCTGTGACTTGCTGTGTATCTGTATGTATTCAGCGTGTGTCTGTGCGCTGCTGTCCTCTCCCCCCCACGGCGGGCCTGTCCGGCGGATGTGTGAGGGATGATTCAGTGGTGACAGGAAGCTGCCGCCTTGCTGACTGCCCTCCAGAGGCAGCTGCGCCGGCGCTCAAGCAGGTGCCGGGCATGGGGCGGCTGCAGTGAGGAGCCCAACTCAGGTAAGCCTTCCATTCCTAGGCGCCCAGAGCCCCTGGGGCAGGGTCCCCGCTGTGCCCTGTCCCGCAGTGACCCTGTATGGACCCTCTGGCACTGCCTGCCCTGGCACTCAGGCTGCGGGGCTCAGGGACAGTCTGATCCCCTGCTCCAGCCACTTTTGGTCTTCACATCCCCTCCCAGCTGCCCTGCCCTGGAAGCAGCAGGGAGGCCTTGTCACTGCCAGAGCCTGGGGATCGGCGGCCTCAGTATCACATCCGTAGCTTGGGATCATGCAGCCTCTGCCATGGGCTGTGGGGACCCGGGAGGCCACAGGGTCTGAGGGGAGCACTGGCAGCAGTCTGCCCCCCCGGACTCCTATCACTGCCCCCACTCTGTGCTGTCCTCTGCCACCTGAGCGCCCGGCGCCTCCTGTAAAGGCCTCCTGAAGCTGCCATGGTTGGGACCCCAGCCACAGCCTGGGTGATCACAGAGCCTGGGCCAGGCCTGCGACTTCCCCAGTGGTTCTCAAGAGATGTGTTCATAAGAAAACTGCCCACTTCCCTTTGAGCTATTTTGGCCGCAGAGCAGAGGCTGCGGTGGCCCCACCCAGCTCCCTTGGCCCTTGGGGCCTCTGGGGACTGCCGGGTGGCCGCTCCCCCACCTCTTACCACCTCCAAGAGTGAGTTGGAGACAACACAGAATTTGTTCAGCTGAGGGGTAGACACCAGTGCCTGTTAGTCTCTCTTTTTAAAAATATTCTGTGACTGCCAAGGCATGGTGACGCATAGCCTTAATCATAGTTGCTCAGGAGGCTGAGGCAGGAGGATCCTAAATTTGAGGCTACTTTGCACCATTCAGTGAAGTGCTATCTCAAAAAATGGAAATGATATCAGCTACGGTGGCATAGGCCTGTAATCCCAGCACTTGGGAGGTTGAGGTAGGAGAAGCCAGCGTGGGCAAACCAGCCAGTTCGAGGCCTACCTCAAAAACTAAAACAAAGAAAAGGAAGGAGAAAAGAAAAGGGTTGGGGGTATAGCTCAGGGATAGAGCTACATATATCGCATTTTCAAATTTAATTTTGAAAAGGAGCGTGGGCTGGCTGTGGTGGCACACGCCTATAATCCAGGCATTCAAGAGGCTGAGGCAGGAGGATTGCTGAGAGTTCAAGGACAGCCTGGGCTATGTAGTGAGTTCAAAACCAGGTTGGGCCACGTACTGAGGCCCTGTCTGAAAAGAAAACAAAAAAAGAAAAGGGCGGAAAGGAAGGAAAAAAAAAAAGAAAGAGAAAGGAAAACAGAGAAAAAGAGAGGAGGAAGATAAAGAGTGGCATCTGGAATCTCCCTGCCCTGGCTTTGGACCCTGCCTGCCCTTAGGCCGCTGTGTGACCCTGTGATACAGCTCACACCACTCTGAGCCTTCTGTTGCTGGACCGGAGGTGTCTCCAAGGAGATACTATCTTCAGGGAAGGGCCACTGAAGGAGTCAAGGAGTTGGCCCTGCTCTTTGTGAGGCCACAACCCCTCCTGGGTCCTGGCTTCTCTGTCCCCATGAGGGTCAGAGGCTTGAGGCCTGACCTCATGTCAGGAGCAGGTGTCTGCCCAGCCTGGGCACCTCAGTGTTTCCCAGCCAGCACTGTGCTGCCAGCCAGCACTGTGCTTCCCATGTCACAGGGCCTAAGGGACAATGGTGACAAGAGTCACCGCTAGCCAGGGCCGGGCCTCCACTGCAGTACTGTGCAGATGACAAACCCAAGCAAGGGCTGGTGTCACTACCCCCGCATGGCAAGTGGGAGGGCATGGGGCAGGACACCCAGTCCCTCCAGCCTGGGCAGGAGACTGTCACTAAGTCACTAAGTTGCCCAAGCTGGCCTCAAAGTTTCAGCCTTCCTGCCTTAGCTTCCCAGAGTGCTAGGATTTACAGACTGGATCCCTTTTTATTTTTAAAATTTTTGTTTTTACTAGTACACATTTGCAGTGTATGATGATTATATTCATCATGGGAAGTTGGTCCATGCACACACACACACACACACACACACACACACACACACACACGTGTGCATGCACGACTCACTTGATCCTTTTTTTCCTTCTGGTTCCCCACCCTTGCCCCTTTCCCTCCATCTCCTGGCCCCCTTCTCATCTGTGAAACACCAATCTCCCTGCTTCCTACTGTCTTTTTTAGTTCGCTTTTTTTTCTTTTGTCTTTTGAGACAGGGTCTCGCTATGCAGTTCAATCTGGCCTTGAACTCACTTTGTAGCCCTGGATGGCCTCAAACTCACAGCAATCCTCCTGTCTTTGCCTCCTGAGGGCTGGGATTGTAGGTGTGCACTACCACACCCAGCTTCTTTTGAAAAAAAAAAAAAAGGAGGAAAGATTTATTTTGGCTCACACTCGGGTGAGCCAGTCTAGGGTTCGAGGATAGCATGGTGGGGGCTCAAGTCAAGGCTACAGGAAGCAGATGGCTGTCGGCGGCATCTCCTACTCAGACCAGATAGGTATGTCAGTTACAAGGGGCACCGGGAAGGTCAAAGGCAAAGAAGGACTAAGACATGAAATATAGCATGCCAGCCTTTGGTGGGTGCGCAGCTTGACTGCGGGTGCCAGTGGGCTGCAGGAAGCGGTGGGGGCAAACTGCTGACATGGCCAAGGTTCAAGAATTGAGGAACAATGCATTCTTGAGAAAAGCACACCAGAATAGATCATGGTTAACTAGTAACCTATTTATTGCTAATTCCAGCTACTGAGCTGGGAGAGAAATTTGGGCATAAGTTACAAAGTCCTCAGCTGTGGTACTTATTATTGATTCATTTATTTTTGAGGTACAGTCTCACTGTGCACCTCAGGTTGGTCTCAAACTCAAGGCAATCCTCCTGCCTCAGCCTCCTGAGTGCTGGGATTACAGGTGTGCACCACCACACCCAGCAGTGGTGCTTCTCTTGCTTTGAGGCACCTGGATTTTGAAGACTGTTTGCTGGTCTCAGCTTTAGTGTTTGGTCTGAGGATTAATTCTGTCTCTATGTCAGACTAGGACAGACTCGATGTACTTTATGCCAATGTATGAATGTCCGTCACTGCCTGCTCTGCACCATGTCAGGCTGGTCCTCAGCAGAGAGCTACTTTGCTCTTTAATTTATTTATACTTGGGTTTCTTATAGCAGAGAAACCACATAATATTTAAGCCTGTATGTCTGGCTACTTCAGTCAGCGTTATGGTCTCGAGGGGCGTCCACTTCCTATGAATGACTCACGTTTGTCTTTCTTTGTGGCAGAGTGGTACTCTACTGTGTGTAAGTACTGTGCTTCCTCTATCCTGTCACCTGCTGATGGACACATAGGCTGCTTCCGAGGTTCAGCTGCTCTGAGTTGTGCAATGGTACACATGGGTGTGCAGGGGTCACTGTGATAGGGTAGCTGAGTCACATGGGATTTCTGCTGTTAGTTAGTTAGTTAGTTTGTTTTTATGGTAGAGAAGTTTTATTAAAGGCAGAAAAAGAGCCAGGCTCTGCACAGCAAGCTTGGGCCAAGTAAAAGTCGGAAAAGAAGCTTTTCCCCACAGCTCTGCCAGCATGTGCTGTTTTATTTAATTTCTAGAAAATAGCTATTCTTTCTAGAGAGAGATGGAATCTTGTTGGTATTTTAATTTGCATTTTCCTTATGGCCAGAGATGTTGAATATTTATTTCGTTTACTTATTGGCCATTTGTACTTCTTTTTGTCATTTTTGTTTTTATTTTGAGACAAGGTCTTACTGTGTAGTTCAAGCTGGCTTTGAACCCACTATGAAGCCCGGCCTGGCTTTAAAACTCACAGTGATCCTCCTGCCTCAGCCTCCAGTGCTGAGCTCAAAAGTGTGTACCACCACTTGCCTCTACTTACCTTAGAAGTGTCTGTTCATTTCAGTTGCCCGTTGTTTTGACTGGGTCTTTTCTTACGGTGTATGTGGGAGGTCTCTCCGTTATTAGTTCTGTGTATATTCTAGATGTTAGTCCTTAGAGGAGTAGCTAGCAACATTTTTTTCCTATTCTGTAGACTGTTTCTTCATTCTGTTGGTCTCTTTTACTGTGCAGAAGGGTTTAAACTTGATGTGATCCCATTTGTTGATTCTTGGTGTTATTTCGTGTGCACTGGGGTTCTGTTCAGAAAATCCTTGCCTATGACTGTGCCTTCAAGCGTAATATCTGTTTTACCTTCCAGCTGATTAAATATTTGTTTTAACTCTTGGATCTTTTATCTATTTTAACTTTAGTTCAGTGCACGCTCAGAGATAGAAGTCTAGACTCAATTTTCTGCTCTTGGATAGTCAGTTTTCCCAGAACCATTTTTTTGTTGTTGTTGTTATTTTGGGAGGTTTTTTGGTACTGGAGACTGAACTCACAATCTTGCACTTGCCAGGCAGGCACTGCGCTGCTGAGCTATATCCCTGGCCCCAGCACCACCTTTTTTTTTTTTGTCTTTTTGAGACAGGATCTCGCTGTACAGTTCAGGCTGGCCTTGAGCTCACTTTTGTAGCCCAGGCTGGCCTTGAACTAGCAACGATCCTCCTGCCCTAGCCTCCCAAGTGCTGGGATTACAGGCGTGAGCCACCATGCCTGGCCCCAGCACCACTTTTTAAAGAGATTGTCTTTCTTTCGCATTTTTGTCCCTTTTGTCAAAGATTTAGTGGCCAAAGGTGCGTAGGGTTGTTTCCACCTCTGCTGTTCCACTGACCCACAGGTCTGCGTTTGTGTCAATACCGTGTTTTGTTTTTCTTTTAAAGAGAATAAACCCCAACAAAACAAAACAGAATAAAGTTAATCAAAACAAAGCAGTGAAAAAATTAAAAAATAAAATAAATAAAAAATAAAAAAAACAAAGCAGTGAAACTGGTACAGAACTTCAAAACAGGATAATAGGAAATCAACAATGACTGCCATAATGTATCTTGCTATCTTCACAATAGTTGTCCATACCATCAGACACAGCAAAATCAAACCAAACAAAGCAGGATAAAATAATTGAAACATAACACTGAATAAAACAAAACAATAAATTGTAACAAAATAAAACAGTGAGATCAGTACTACACATTGTTATCTTCAAAATAGTTGCTCAGGTTACCAGATGCAGGGATAAAACAAAACAGTAAAATGGGACAAAACATTGGATTTCAAAAACAAGACAGGAGGAAATCCCGCACAGCTGACACAGTGCACACTGCCATCCTCCAAGTGGATGCCCAGGCACCACCCCCAGGCCTGCAAAGTCAGCCAAACAATACAAGCATGGGGCTGTTCCTGTCCCTTCCTTTCATTTCACCATGAGTCCTCCAAATCAGTGTGTGTGGGGGGGGTAGGTGCATGGGGATGCTCTTTTGGTTGCTTCACAGAAGGCTGTGGTTTTTCCTCTGGCTGAGGCTCTTACCCATCAGCATGGTGGAGCCTGTTTCATGGGAAGGCATGCCGTGGTGTTTTAATCATAGTAGCTTTGTAATGTAACTCAAGGTCTGAGACTGTGATGCCCCTACCTTGTCCTTGTTACCCAGGATTGCTTTTGCGTCTGGGTCTCTTCTGGTTTCCTGTGAATTTTAGCATTGTTTTATCCAGGTCTGTGAGGAGTGCTGCTGGTATTTTGATTGGGGTTGCATTAAATCAGCCTGGGGTGGCAGGACAGGAGCTCGGGGCCGAGAGGAGGCTTGGTGGTGAGGGAGTGACAGTCACCAGGCAGGAAAAGTCCCTGGTTCCTCTGACTCACTTGGCTCCAGAGGGAGCCCAGGGGGCTTCAGTGGCATGCATGGATTCTGTGTCCCCTTTGACTCAGTGACTCTGGAAGCTCAGAGAGCTCCGGAGAGCTACCCCAGGCCACGCAGCTAGGGAGGGGACAGTGTGGCCATACAGGCCCAGCCCAGGCAGGAGGTGGGCAGTGTGAGTTCCTCTTCCGCCCTGAGCCTCTTCTTCCCCAGAGGGAGATGGGAGGGACTCGTCTGGCAGAGCAGAACTGGGGCACAGGGTGGCCCCACAGGACTGGCCCCTCACTGTGTCCAGGGACTGAGTATCTCTCTGCCTCTCTTTTTCCATCTTCCTCTACTTCTCCTTCTCTTTTTCCATACTGGGAACTTCAGAACCCAGGCCTTTCCACTGAGCTGTGTCCCCAGCCCTTTTTATTTTGTTATTATTTGCCACCTTCCTGCCTCAGCCTCCTAGGATACTAGAATTACAGCAACAAGCCCAGCCAGGATGGGCCTGAGTCTTTTTAGAGTCTCCACGACTCTTTCTGGAGGTACTCCAGAGGGCTGAACTTCTATTTTATTCCCCAAACTGTGCCACCTGCCATGAAGTAGCCCCATGTCAGCCAACCTTGTCCCCAGCTCCTCTCTCTAACAGCTACCACCAGAAGACCCTTGGCCAAGGCACCCTTTTCACCTCTGAGCTGCCTCCTCCAGGAAGCCTTCCCCAACTTCCTCCTCCCCACTTGCACAAGAGGTAGCATCTGGGCTCGCAGGTGCAGACAAAAACTCGTTTTCAGGTGTCTATGAGGCAGAGAGGCGCCCAGGTGTGGCATGGTGGGTGGGGCCAGGGTTGGGGTCATGGGCTAGGGCCATTGTTTTGTTCTGTTTGAGACAGTCTCACCAAGTTGTCCATGGTGACCTTGAACTCATGACCCTCCTGCCCCAGCCTATCAGAGTGCTGAGATTGCTAGCGGTTGATGGGCTCACACTCAACACTGATTGCAGGTGGGGACACTGAGGACATGGGCAACGAGACTGAGCTGCTATGGCCGGGGGCTGCGCTGCTGCTGCTGCTACTGGGGGCTGTGGCCGGGCTGTGTGTGCGCTGCTCCCGCCCAGGTAAGGGGGACCTCAGAGCCTAGGGAGGAGACTCCAGCCAGGGTGTGGTGTTTCATGGCCCTCAGGCCAGGACCACTGGGTGGTGGCCCCTAGCTGACCCAGAGGACACTAAATCTTGTTCACTGGGGTTTTTGGTTGCACTTGGGCTAGTGTAATCTCTCCACGTCTATAATCCCAGTGCTCTAGGAGGCTGAGTCAGGAGGGCTGAAAATTTGAACCCAGCTTGGGCAGTTTAACAACTCAGTGAGACCTTGTCTCAAAAAAAGAAAGAAAGCTGGGTATGTAGCTCAGTGCAAAGACCCTGGGTCCCATCCCCAGTACTAAAAATAGAAAAAAGTGTGATGTTTGGGCCAGGAGATTCCTCCTGCCAGGAGTGGATGGCTAGGCCCCCTGTATGACCCCTTATTGATTTCTCATCTCCTGCTGAGAGGGGAGAGGTTTTGTCTGAGCCTTGCAGAGACCTCGGAGTTCAATCTCCACCTGACTCAGGGACACACATTCATCCAGCCTGTTCTTCCCAGGGGCAAAGAGGACGGAGAAAATCTATGAGCAGAGAAATCTGTGAGTAGCTTTGGCTTGGAGCCTGAGGTCTCCACGTGACCTGGGCGTGGGGTCCTTCAGCCCTTGAGCCACATCTGCCTATGGATGGCTCTGCGGGTCCCAGCAGTGACAGTGACGGCGACAACCACCCCACAGCCTTGCAGGGTCCCCACCCTGCTGACAGACAGGGAGCCCCGCACTCCTGGGAAGTAGGGATGGTGGCGCAACTCCTGCAAAACATGGGGTGCAGGCTAGGGTGTCCCTGGAAAACATGGGGCGCAGACTGGCGTGTCCCTTGGGTGGACTGTGGAAGGCTGAGTGGGCCAGCAGAGAAAGGCGAAGGTGCTGATGCAGAACTGGAGCTTAGGGGCGAGTCTGGGGGCCGGGGCAATGTCACCCCCACGTGCACACACAGATACTGTCACACACTTGCTCAAGTGCACAGTGCACCTATAGCTTGGCTCTCATGCATGCGCACATATGTGCACACACACATCCTTCCCCATTTCCTTTTGCAACTGAAAAACCACATTGCCATTTGAAAATAGAATCTCTGCAATCATGGGCCAGGCAGGAGTCCACTGGGGTTTTCTGGCCCTGTGCAGTACCTGGCACCCCCTTCCTCCTGATGGGCCCGGAGCATGCAGGTGAGGGCCAGAAGCCACATACCTCACATTGAGGTGGTGCAGGCCACTCAGGCTGCTCCTTTCCCCAGGATGCTTTTCCCTGTCCCTAGGTGTCACCAAAGTTGGGCTCAGGCCCACCAGCCTGCAGAAAATGACCCCCGTGTGCACCTGGCCCTGCTCACAAAACATCCCCAACCGGAAGCCACATCTGACTTGTTACTGGGCCCTCAGGGCATCCCCCTCTCGAATCAGGTCATCCCTCTTGAATCAGGTCACCCCGACCCCCAACCCCCCAGGGGCCTGCTTTAGTCAAGGGGAGGAGCCCCAGAACCTGTTTGAACAACTGGCTAATTGGCTCCCCCAAATATGGAAGAGGGTCTTGCATTCTCTAGGAACTTCATGGCCTGAGATGGCAGCTGAACACCATCCCTTATCTCATGCCCAGCAATAGCAAGCAAGAAGAGATAGGGACATAAAGGGTCCACTCCAGTCAACTGTGCCCCTTGAGATTTCTTAGAAATACCAACAAGCTTGGTTGTAACTCCCTGATGGGAGCCTGTCCACATGGTTATTTAGGTGTGAAGAAGGCTGGGAAATAGTCTTTGAGATGGACGCATGGCTACTGAGGCTTCTATCCAGGGATAATCCCAAAACTCAAGAGGCCAAGGCAGGAGGGTCACAAGCTCCAGGACCCTGGCTCTAAAAAGAAAGTAATAATAAACCAGGCTCTGCCAGAGAAGAAGGACAGTCAGCACCAGCACTGGGAGCCTGCTTCTGCTGAGCCTCCAGGGAGCTGTGGCCATGGCAGGCTGAGCCCCCTTGGGAACAGTGACGCAGCCTGGGGTGCAGGCAGACAGGCTCATGGTTACTACTGGCCCAAGTCACCAGTGGGCCCTGAGCAGCCGCCTCCCCCTGGGCCCTTGACTGCCTCTCTAGCCTGCCCAGTCCTGCTCTTCCCCAGGCACCTGAAGCCTACAAGACGTGAGGTGTTGGGGACAGCCATGTAAAGGATGTCACCCCATGTGGTGCAGAGTAGAGGAGGGGCCTTGGGTCTGAGGCTAAAAGGGTAACAGCCTGTCCCTGCAACAACATTCCTCTGCCCTTCCTCTCTTGGATTCTTGTTCTTGTCTCTCCTGTCCCCATGTCCCTGGGCTCTGGGGGCCAAGCCCCACTCAGCATGGCATCCTGAATTTCCAGGCAAGAGAATCAGCAGAGCTTCTCAGTGGCTTCTCGGACCTATTCCTGTGAGTCCCCAGGCTGTAGGGACTGGGCTTGGGGCCAGGGTTCGTATCAGGAACCAGATGTGGTGATGTCATCCCAGCACTCTGGGAGGCAGGAGCGTCACAACCTTGAGCCCAGCCTGGGCAACTTAATGGCTTAGTGAGACCCTGTCTCAGAGAAATGTTAAAGTGGCTGGGGTTGTAGCTCAGTGTGAAGGCCCTGGGTTTAATCCCCAGGACCACACACAAAACCCCGAGAAAGATCCTTTCTGACCCCATGGCCAGGCCTGGGCGGGAGTATAGGGTGTGGGTAGGGATTGGCCTCAACCCACCAAACCCTCATTACCTTTGCAGTGGTCAGGCAGGCGTGGCCAGGACCCCGAATGGACATGGCCCCTGACGCGGCCCCAACAGGGTAGGTATGGTCCCCATTGCACCCTGAGTAAGGGGGCCATAGCCTGGCTGGAACCTGACTGCTCCCCGGGTCCCAGAGCCCTAGAGGCCTGCAGAGCCATCCCTCAGCACCCTGTCACCACCCACAGGAAGGACAAACTGCTGCGGTTCTCCACCCTGCAGGACGGTGAGTGTGGGTGACCTGGTGGGCAAAGGCCAGGCTGTGGGATGGCCTGTGAGGAGTGCAGAGGGGACCACGCAGGCCTTTCTTCCAGAACCCGAGTTTGCCCGGTACCAGAATTTCAGCAAAGGTGAGAGGGCTGCGAGGGGCGGTGGGGCTGCTGCCCAGCTCGGGGCTAACTGTTCTTGCCTCCTCCAGGGAGCAGGCGCGAGTCGGATGCCTACATGTGAGTGGCCACCCTGGCCCGCCCTACCTGCCCCTGCCTCGGTTTCCCTGCTTGTCATCTCTGAGCCAAACACTCCTCTATTCAGCAGCACTGCTTTCTCTCAGGTGGTAGGGACTCTGTGGGGACACAGATGTGGCTCTGTGAGACAGGAATGGACATCCTCGGGGAGGCTGCCCCTGCATTGTTCCCCCACACCCCAGAGTGGCTCAAGGAAGCCAGAGGGAGAGGTTGGGGGGCCACGGCAGAGCCCCTCTCACCCCCAGGCTTGTGAAGGAGCTGCCCTAGCCTTGGTATCCCCTCATGTCCCTGACATCCCCAACCTGTCCTTGTCCATTTCCTTCGCCAGAGACCCCATTGTCATGGAGTATTACAACTGGGGGTGCTCCTGGAAGCCCCCCGAAGGTAAGGCAGAGGATGGATGGGGGGGTGCTCAGATGGCAGGCAGGGACCCTGAGGCTGGTCATTTGGGCTGGGCTGAGCCTTTGGCTTTTAACACCTTTGCTTCCCAGAGAGAGGATCAGATATGTCTGGCATATGGTGCATACCTGTAATCCGATCACTCAGGAGGCTGAGGCAGGAGGATCCCAGGTCCAAGCCCAACCTGGGAAACTCTGCCTCATGAGACCCTTTCTCATAATAAAAAATAAAACAGGGCTGGGAATGCAGCTCAGGATGAAGGCACTGGGAAAAACAGGGAAACCAGGAAAGCAAAACTTAGCAGGAAAAAGCTGGAGGCACTGGGCAGGATGGGCCAGCAAAGGGCAGGAGGACATGGCATGGGGGACGTGAAGGGGGTAGGAACAGGCCATGCAGCAGAGCCCCAGCAGCCCCTGTGGGCCTCCCCTCTGCAGATGAGGACGACACCAACTCCTATGAGAACGTGCTCCTCTGTGGGCCACGGAGCAGGAACACAGAGTCAGGTGAGCTGCGATCGGGCAGGCGGGTGGAAGGGCACCTGTCCTCCTCCCAGGCCACCTGGGCTTCTGCGCGGAAATCCTTGTGGCCCAAGCCTCTCCTGCCTGGGGACCCCAGGGCTTTGGTGTCTCTGGGCCTCTGAGCAAAGTGTCGCCCAGCCAGTGTCCCGGGAAACATCCTGGGAGAGCGTGTGCTGCCCAGGGCTGGCCGCTGGTGGCCGCCCTCCTGCACTGTTCCTGTCCCACAGGTGGAGAGGACTCCGAGGACTATCAGAACTCAGTATCCATCCACCAATGGCACAAGTCCATGCAGGCTCAGGGTAGGTGCCCGGAGACCAGGTGGGATGGGCTCCCCTCCTGCCCCGGAGGCTGCGGGTGTCCCAGGCTCCACCAGGTCTCTCCTTGCCAGCACTGCAGCCTTCTGGGCTGGCCACACCATCTCAACTCCCTGAGCAGGGCCACCTCTGGCAAACCCCAGGGGCAGACAGACAGACAACAGAGCCCCTGCAGTGACATCCCCCAAGGGCTGCAGTGGAGTCAGGCTCTGAGCTGGGGTGTGGGCTGGGGAACAGCAGCAGAGGGTGTGTGTGGCCAACCCCACCCTCCTTGCTCCCTGGTTCACAGAGCAAGTCCCCAGAGCAGCACATCTGTCCCCAGCGGGGAGCCCGGATGAGGACGAGGGAGAGCCAGACTACGTGAACGGGGATGTGGCAGCCAGGGAAGCCTAGGGGAGACTGGAATTGAGGTACAGTCCCTTCCACCACCTTTGGCCAAGACTCCAAGGATCTAGGGGAGGGGAGAAGCCCATGGGTGCTGGGGGACACAGCATAGTTGTCCTGTGTCCTGCTCTACCTCTTGTGGGGCTAGGACCACATGGCAAGTGTGGCCAAGGTGATAGGTAGGTGAGGTGACAGGTCTGAGGTTACTGAGGTATTGGGCAAATAAGTTTGGCCAGGGGGGTCTGTGTAACCTCACACTTGGGGCTGAGCCCCAGACTCTATTTCCTCACTGACCAAGCACAGCCAGGGTCCCCGGCTGTGAGCAGGACACTGCAGACAGCAGGAGCTCCATCCACCCATGCTACAGCCTGTGACAGGGGGCTGGGACAGGACGGCGTAGGCACAGTGGTGGCTGACATACGTGGAGCCAGGGCACCCACAGCTCCGTCCTCATCCTTGCACCCAGGAGGTACAGAGCAGCCCAAGGCCACAGCTGGAGTACAGGGAGGAGAGGACAGGAAGCCTGCATGCATAGTCCAGCCCGTGTCCCCAGCTTGGGAAGCAGGATTGCCTTTGTGGACCCTAGGCAGGCTGGGGGGCAGAGCTACGCAGACCAGGTCATTGGCTGAGTCTGAACAGGGACCTCACCTTGAATACCGGGACCTTGAGTGCAGGGGAGGGGCAGAGCCAGGTGGGGCAGCTGCAGGGGGCAAGGGCGCTGGGGTTTGAAGGGGGAATTGGTGTTCATGAGTGGTGACCTGAGAACCCACACCCAGGGTAATGACAGACCTGGTGGGATACAGATGAGTTGAAGGTCCATGGCTGCTGCAGTGTGACAGGAAGCCAACTTTCAGCAGTGAGATCTGCACAGGCCAGGGAGCAGATGTGCTGGGGGCAGCCAAGGCTTAGTTGGGGACACAGGCTCGGGTCACCCAACCACATGGTATGGACCAGGCAGTCAGAGGTCCAAACCTGGGGCAGGGTCAGGCAGAGTCACCTCCAGCCCTGGGGACTGACCCTGCATATTGCACAGGTGGTTCAGAAAGCTGGGCTGGGGACAGTCACCAAGGGAGGGAGGAGTATTGAGGACCCAGCACAGAGTCCTGGGCCTTGCTGAGGCCAGGAGATGGGGAGACAGTGTCCACCCCATAGGGTGTCCTCCCACAAAGGGTCGAGTGACCAGTGAGGGTACAACTGACCACAGAAGTCAAGAGCCCTGTAGGTGGTCACTGGTGAGAAGAGCAGTTTGGTGACGGGGTGGGAGGAGAGGGGAGTTGCAAGGATTGGAGAGTAAATACCAGGATGCCTCAGCCAGGCACAGGGGTGCACACCTTTAACACCTCAGCACAAAGGGGAGACTGAGACAGGAGGGTCACAGCCTGTTTGAGGCACCTGTCTCAAAAAATAAGAAGGGCTAGGCATGTTGCTCAGTGCAAAGGGCTTGAGTTTAACTCCCACTAGCAAAACAAAAACAAAACCAAGAAAAAGTTTTGCTTCAGAGGGAAGTGGTAACAGGGAGCAGAACTAGTGGTCATAGAGGTTGGGAAGATGCTGACAGATGCCACCCTCAGTAGGTGTAAGTTTGGGCCAGGCTGCAGCTGGGAGACCCTGCACAGCCAGGGAACAGTGAGTATAGTGCAGGCCAGTGTGCCAGGTAGAGTGGCTCAGTCCTGGGTCCGCTGGCCGGCAGGAGGCAGGGCTGGGCTGGACAGTCCTCTCTGACTGGTACACAGGGCAGTGTGGGCCACTAGGTGCTTTGTGGTCCAAGTCTCCCGGCCACAGCTTTGTGGCCAAGCTGTGGTCAAGGTCAAACAGAGTAGGGCGCCTGCAACAGGAGGTACAAGGCTGGGGTCTGGGAGAGGCTGTTCCCACCCGGAGGCAGCTGAACCCTGACTCCCAACTGACCCACTGTTTCTGGGAACACAAGGAGCAGCGGCTGAGGCCAACCCTTTCCTGGTGACAAACCTGCACTGAAGAGGCCAACACCTGGCCGAAGGGAACCACTGGACTTGTGGATGGTTCTGCTGTGCCTGCACTCTCCTCCTCAGCCTGTGTGGTTACTCCTTGAAGGGGCCCAGCATCCTGGGGACCAGCTGGCTGGCCATGGAACAGCCTGGGAAAGACACTCACTGGTGGCATCATCCCAACTGTGCCCTCTGCCCCAGCCTGGGCTTCCTTGGGGCAGGACAAGTGCCTAGTGTCACCTGGCCTCCACTGTGATGGGACACCCAGAATCCAGGGCAAGCTGCCATCTCCAAACCTGTCCTGTAAAACGCTGTCGAACACCGGGCTTCCTGTTTGTCTGTTTTGGATTCCCAACTGCTTACCGCGCTGGCTCCTGGGCAGCTGTACACACCGGCCATGTTGTGCAGGGGACTTGCACGGTGAGGCCTACTGAACCCTCAGCCTCTGAGCTGCCCGCAGCATACCACTTGGGGCTCTCCTGGGTTTGGGCGAAGAAATGAAGCCAAGCCATGGTGATGTCTCTGATGCAAACATCATTTGCTGGGGACAAAAGTGCCTTACGGGTTAGAGCCGAGGTGCTCCAGGTGCTCGGCCTAGTGGCTAAGGGCTGCTGGGCTAAGCTGAAAGGTGACTGAGGCACAGGCTGCCAGTGTCTGCAGGGCAGGGGGTAGGGGAGAAAGAGCTGGGGAGAGAGAGCCCTCCACCCGGATAAAGGCTCCTCATAAACCATGTCAGCCAGGGAGCAGGGACAGCCTTGTTTCCCTGTCCCTGCTCAGATACAGCCCTTCCAAAGGACCAAGTCTCCCGCTGAACAGTAAGGTCCCCAAGGCCTAGAGAAGGCTGTGGACAGCTTTGTTTTCCAGCATAGGGTTGAACCCAGGGCCTCTGCACTGAGCTACAGCCCAGCCCATTGTGGTTGTGTTATCAGACAGAATCTTACTATATAGCCCAGGTGGCCTTGAATTCATAGTAATCCTCCTGTCTCAGCCTTCTAAGTGCTGAGATTTACAGGCATGCACCACCATACCTGGCCCAGTATGTGCCTTTTGAGACAGAGTCTCACTAAGTTGCCCAGACTGGGCTTGAACATCCTTCTGCCATGATCTCCCAGACCACTGGTGGCCCTGTGCCACCATACTTGACCTGACATGTTCTTGGGTCTGTGTCCACCCCTCTCCCTAGAATGCCATGTGATTCTTCCCCTGGGAGAAATTAATGTTACCAGTCAGGAAATAAAATACCTAGAACCACCCAGCCTTTGTACAGAGGCCTGGCTGGAGGTGCAGGGGCCATGTGGCCTCTAATGCTGGAGAACGTGTCAGGCGTCACAGTCTCTGCTGTCAGGTGTCACCAGCCATGGGAACCAGAAGCCTCACTTGCTGGTGACCATCCTGTGCCTCTCAGGGGTTAGAAGGCTTCCTCGTGGCTGTGGTGTGAAGTGACACCTGAGGCCTTTGAATTATTCACTTCCCCAACCCTGCCCTGAAACCCAACCTGGAGGGCCGGAAACCTCAGACCCTTCCTGTCTATGGGCCAGACCGTATCCCCACCCACTGTGGTCTGCGCTAGTGACACAGCTGGGGAGAGGGCCAGCAGAGCGTGAGTACCACATGCCCTGTCCTCCCCACTGCCCAGGCCTGTGTGTACTTGGCCACCTGTGACCACAGCTGGGCTCCAGGTCGCTGCCTGCTGCATCTGATGCGGTAGGGCTTGCACAGCTTTACCTGGGTGGCCTTGGTCTGGGAGCCTGCAGGGCACACAAAGGCCTCTTTTCTTTTTTTTTAGCACAGAGGTTTTTGCTCTGAGCTACATCCCCAGTCCTCATCTCCTTTTTTATTATTTATTTATTTACTTAAGAACAGGAAAATTTATTGGAGGATAGGAATAGGGCACAGGAATAGCTCCTGAGAGACAGGAGGGGGTCCCATTGGGACCCCCTCATGCTCTCAATAAGTTGCTCAGTTCCCCAGGTTGAGCTCAAATTTGCAATTGTCCTGCCTCTGCCTCAAGGAGTATTTGGCTTACAGGTATACAATGCCACACTAGGCTCCCAAGAACCTTTCAGTTTCCACATGAGGGGCCAGGGTGCAGCTCGGTGGCAGAGCACTTGCCTAACATGGGAGGGTACTGGGTTCCATCCCCAGCACCTCAAAAAACCCCTCAAGCCCCAATGCCCTCAGCAAAAGCACTAGTCATGGAAGCAAAACCATCACTGTAAATAAAACTGGCATTTGCTTTAGAATCCTTTGGCAGAGGGTAGAGCGGCAGGTGGGGAACAGGAAATGTGCCTGGCCACGTGGGTGACACTGTCCAGGTATGTGATGAACAGGTGAAGAGTCACCGTATCTCCCCGGTACTTTAAACATCACTGAAACTTTTCATACTTAAAAAGGAGCTGGGTGGATAGTACACTCTATAATTCCAGATACTCTGGTGGCTGAGCAAGAGAATTGAAAGGGGTTTTTTGGGGGGGAGGGCACAAGGTCTTGCTATATAGCGTAGGCTGGCCTTTAACTCATGGCAATCCTGTCTCAGCCTCCCAAATCCTGGGATTACAGGCAGGAATCACCATACCAAGCCTAGGACTCCAAGTTTGAAGCCAGCCTAAATAATTTAGTGAGACCCTGTCTCAGAATAGAAAGGGACTGGGAATGGTAGGTCAGTGACAGCACTTGCCTGTCATGCAGGAAGCAGTAGGTTCCATCCCCAGTACCAACCAAACGGGGAGAAGAAAAACCCACTAGTGAATCCTAAAGGAACAAGCCTGTGTGGTCAGGCCCAGCCACTGCCCTGGCCACTCCCAGCTGGCCCTCAGTGATGATTTCATCCAGGCCATCTGCTGTGCTTGAGTCCTAGACTGGAAACCACAGGTGACCCTGGAGATCCCAAGCTCTTAGGAGTCCAGACCAGCTGCCTGGTTGACATCCAAGTCACCTGCACAGCCCGGGCATGCAGGTGTCCCTCCAAGCCTGGCGATGTCAAACGCTGTAGGACAAACATGGTCTAGCTTTATTGCTACAATGCCAACAGCACCTGGATATGCATGGAGTGGGATGTGTCATAGGCCTGGACACCACCAGAATTCCAAGTCAGGCACATCTTCCTATCAGAGGCCACAGCCCTCCTGCCCTGGGGGTCCTCTGGCTGCATTGGTGACGTCTTTGCTCTAACTGGCCACCGGCGCCATCGTCTTCTGACACAGCCTGGCCAGCAGCCCCGCCATCTGCAGAAGGGAGTTCACACCTTCCGCCACACGCATGTGGGTATAGCCGATCTCCTGCGGACAGGCAACACATGTCTAGTTAACATGTGCTGATCTGAATAGCAGCACTGGAAACCGACACGGCAGACACCAATCCCAGGCAGGAAACAGGGAAATAGAATGCGTTATGCTGAACTAAAGGTCAACTGGTTTCCAGAAAGGACTCTTGTTTCTTTGAAAGGTACCACTGAAAAAAATAAAAGACCTTAAAAAGTCAGGGGTGGTGGTGCACAGCTGTATTCCCAGCTCTCTGCGAAGCTGAAGGAGGTGGATTACAAGTCCAAGTCCAGCCTGGGTAATTTAGTGCCCCATGAGCACCTGCCTCAAACAAACGGCAGACAAGGGTGCGAAATGTAGCTCAACACCATCAAAAAATTAAAAAACATGAATTTGCATAACGCCTGCCGGGTAAGCACAAGATCTTGAGTTTGATTTCCAGTACAAAAAAAAACAACTGAATTTTTCTGGAAGTGATTACATCTCAATTTAGCAGACTTTACACAATAAAGGCAGGACATGACTGCAGTTGCGCATGTGCCTGCCCAGCACTGTGAGGGCCTGGTCTCCCTGCCCCACACCTCGGTCAGTCAGTCAGTGAGAGGCCGGAAGAAGCAGAGCTGGCCCATGCCGTGGGGAGGTGGGTTAGAAGCACGCACCTTGATGAACTCCAGTTTCAGGTACTCGGCCATCTGGAAAGTCTTACACACACGGAACACGTTGCCGATGATGTCCTCTGGCGAGTAGCCCAGGTGCCACAGGTGGGCGAGGATCTGCGCAGAGGGGATGCAATGAGGCCGTGGGAACCTGAGGCATGGTGCATCCAGACACCCCGTGTGGTTTGGGGGTCACCTCAACCATGAGCTGCAGGGAGCCCATGAAACCCACAGCCTGACATCCTCTAGTCAAGTGGGATCAACTCGTTTTCCGGGGCAGAGTCAGCACTGCCAAACTTTCCACTGGCCTTCTGGGGGGCCTGCTACGGTGGCCCACAGTGTCTTTGCCTGGATTATTTCTCTTGAGTCTGGGTCTAGTTATGTAGTTCAAACTGGTCTTGAACTTACAGTGACCCTCCTGCCTCAGCCTCGCCCATGCTAGAATCACAGCATGTGCCAGTGTCCCTGACTCACCCGGGGCTCTTAAAACACTGAGGAAGTCCACTGAGCCCTTGAGCAGGGACGGCACAGTTGATACCAGACTGCTAGGCCAAGCACCAATCCCACTCACCCTGTCTGCATTCAGGTCTGGAGCGGATGTTTTTTGCCTTGGTCTCACCACTGCTAGGTGAATTCAGCAGGTGGGAGCCTTGTCTATAACCTGCAGGCTGCTGACAAGTGCACACGGTGACAGCTGCAGGCCACATACCCTGCCTCAGTCTCCCTGCTGGGAACTCCAGTGCCACATCAAGCCAGAGCCCACCACAGGACTCAGGTCACCTGCACCCCCATCCCCAGGCCCTGAGCACCTCTTTCGGTGCAGCTTGTCCTGGCCCCACAGCTCCAGAACCTGAAGGTGGAAGGTGAGGCAGCTCACCTTATAGGCGTCATCGATGTTGGCACTCACGCAGTGCTGGATCATCTCCTTCACCAGCAGTGGGTGCGGCTCGTCGCAGACCTGCACACCGAGGTGTGGGAGGGGTGGGAGGACCAAACTCAGCTACCTGCGCTGCCTCTTCCCCAGCCTGCTGTCTTCACTTGCTTCTCCCACAGCAGGACGAGGCCTAAGAATGCCCCACGGCCTTACGGAGCCCTTCGGAAGTTTATGAAACCCTTATTACCAATTCCTGATTACCAGTTCCTCAAAGACACAATGAAGGACCAGAATACAAGCAAGGTGTGGTATGGAATCTGTACCAGACCCCCGAGGGGGCTGTGCCCACAGCCACAGTAATCAGGTAAAAGCTGGGAGATTAATCCCGGCACTCCGGAGGCTGAGGCAGGAAGACTGCCAAGTTGGAGCCTGCCCTGAGCCACATAGCATGATCTTGTCTCAAAAAACAAAAAAAGGCTTGGGGATACAGCTCTGTGTGAAGGCCCTGAGTTCGATCCCTAGTTTTGAGGGGGAAAAAACAAAAGTAGCAGCAGCTGCCGAGCCCAGAATGCCTGAGCACCAGCAGCATTCTGGCTCCACGAGAAGGGGACATCTCTAAGGCGGAGACACAGGCATGGGGTGGCTCCCTGCACCCTCCCCAGGAACATCGCAGGGCACAGCCCGGTCCACGAGGCCTGGCACCTTGAACACGTTCTCGCTGTTGATGAAGCCGAAACCCGAGAAAGTGGACTGCAGGTTGTTCAGTGCCTGCAGAGGGACAGGAGGAATGGGCACCAGACCCACACAGGTGAGGATGCCACCCCGGGCCTGCCCCGCCCACCCACCTCGCCTGGCACGCACCTGCCGCATGTCGCCTTGTGCCGTGAAGATGATGGCTTCCAGGCCGTCGTCTGTGTAGGGCACAGCCTCCTTTTCAATGACGCTCAGGAGCCGCGCAAGCACTTGCGCATCGGTGAGCTTGGTGTAGCGCAGCACAGCGCAGCGGGACTGGATGGGCTCTGGGAGGCCAGGGGGAGGGAGGCTGGGAGCTCGAGAACACATGAGCCACACGGCCACTGACAGGGCAGGGCCAGCCCTGCCGCCCACGGTACCGGCTGGACAGTGCACCCTCCGTCAGGTCAGAGCTTGGCCAGGTGACAGTGACACCCTGGCTCCAGGATGTCTGTGACCACCTCACAGCTCCATAGATACCCCCTACCCCCTGCCCCAGTGCTGGGGATTGAATCCAGGGTCTTCACACTGAAAGACTTCCCCAATCCTTTTAAGTTTTATTTTGAGGGGCTGGATATGTAGCTCAGTAGCCTAAGTGCCTGCCTGGCAAGCATGAGGTCGTGAGTTGGATCTCAGGTAGTGCCCCCCTGCCCAAATTTATTTTGAGACAGAGTCTAAGTCACTAAATTGTCCAGACTGGATTTGAACTTGCAATCCTTCTGCCTCAGCCTCCTAGAGTGCAGTTTTATAGGTGCATGGTGCCATGCCAGGCTTCCACAGGAGCTTCTCTGACCCACAGTGAGGGTCTGCTATACCAGGCAAACACAGAATTCTTTTGTTTTATTTTGTTTTGTTTTTTGAGATAAGGTCTCACTAGGTAGTTCAGGCTGGCCTCAAACTCTCCTGCCTCAGCCTCTTGAGAGCCAGGATTACAGGCATGTACCACCACACCCAGCATGAACAGAATTTCAGAAGCTCTCCCGTCTCTCAGGTGAGACTAACACAACAGCTTCTCTCTGCTGTCCATGCCGTGTGGTCTCCAACCCTTTGCTGTACTGGGCTCCCTAGAGGTTTTTCTGTGTGCTGGACTGAGCCCATGACTGCTGCGTGATGATCTGCTGAGCATCGTGAGACAGGGAAGCGGACAAAGGAGCCGGGGTGTGGGGAGGAGGCGCAGGGCAGCAGGCTGGAGACTGGGGCTGTAGTGCGTCCATGCAGGAGGATGTGACACCAGCAGGAGGTGGCCAGGGAAGACCGACTAAGGTCAAATACAGGCCTGATATGGTAGAGACCAGAAGCTGGGTGACTCCGAGCAGGGCAAGGCCAGGATGTAGTCTGTACTATGCACTCAGGGAGAACAAAAGCACCAGGGAGAACATACGGGGTTGATGGTGACACTGGGCAGCATAGGAGGCAGACGGGCCTGTGGCTGTGGCCTCTGCTGTCCACCTGCTGTGCAACTCTGGACAAACCACTCGGCCTCTGACTCCAGCTTCTCATCATTAAAGTGAAGCTAAGCCAGGTGAGGTGGCACACACACTGTAGCCAGTATTCTGGAGGCTGAGGCAAGAGGAAGGCAAATTCAAGGCTACATTAGGAAACTTAGCAACAGTGGCTTACAATGAAAATTCAAAAAGCCTTGGGGTGCAGCTTAGCGGTAGAACGCATGCCTTGCATGCGTAAGGCCCTGGGTTCAATCCCCAGTATTGGAAAAAAGATAGCAAGAGAGAAAGCGAGAGAGAGAAGAGAGAAAAACAAGAGTCCAGCTAATAATGCTTCATAAATAATTACATAAGATTAAATTTAGCCAGGTGCAGTAGCACCAGCCTGTAATCTCAACACTCTAAAAGGCTGGGGCAGGAGGATCCCAAGTTAATTTAATGGGCTTCTATCTCAAAATAAATTAAAAAGGATTGGAGATGTAGCTTAGTGCAAAGACCCTGGGTTCAATCCCAAGTGTTGTAAAAAATTTAACTTAACTGCATTTCAAAATGTCACACTGTTTGTGATAAATATACATACTTTGCAAACTAAAATGTACAAGGCAGCTTAGGAAGGGCTGGCAGTGAGTCCTGCCTGCTGCTGAGGTGCCAGGTGGGCACCTGAGGTGGCATAAGCTCTGCTCACCTATGATCTTGTCCGAGGCATTGCAGGCCAGTGCAAAGCGGGTGGTCTTGGAGTAGATCTCCATGGTCCTCCGCAGGGCCTGCTGGGCACCGTCTGTCATGCTGGGAAGGAAATGCAGCAGAGATGCACTGTGCAGCTACGACCCAGGCCCACAGACACCCCTCCTACAGGATGAGGCAGTATGTGGCCAGTGTCCCACACTCTGAAAGCACCCTAACAAGAGGGCACACACACACTGGCATGTTCAGAGACACCTCCTGATGCTGCCAATTCACTCTGAAATGCACCCAAAATCAAACAAAAAAGGATGATGTGGATGGACTGGAAGATGCATAAACGGATGTGTGGTAAGAGCAAATACAGGGGATTAGGAACTGCATGATCAAGATGGGCACACAAAAGCTGGCAAGGTGAGACATGCCTGTCTTCCCAACACTTGGGAGACTCAGACAGGAGGGCCTCAACTTGGACACCAGTCTTGGACTACAAAAGAAAAGCCTGGGGCCGGGGGTTCAGCTCAGTGGCACAAGCATGCGCTTGGCAAGTTCAAGGTCATGAATTCCATCTCTGATACCAAAAAAAAAAAAAAAAAAAAAAAAAAGAGGAAAAGCCAAAATACAAAATGGAAAAAGTATAAAATTACATATGTGATCTTGTCCAAGTAAAAATGCTTAGTAAAAAGGGAATCAATAAAACAAGATATTAGTACTTCCTAAGTTGTCTTCAAAGGACATGAGTTACTGTCACAATCTGTCATTTGGATTATTTGCAATTGCTTCCAGAGGACGTGGTAAGGACACTGCCATAGGGCACTGACTGAACACGACCTGGGACAGATATGGCACTTGGCACGCGGGAGGGGTGGGCAGGGTGAGCACCCACCTGTCAGCCTCGTCCAGGATGATGATCTTGTGCCGGCCTCTGGGAAGCGTCACTTTCTGCTGGGCGAACATTTTGATTTTGTTCCGCACAACATCAATGCCCCTGAAACAGTAAGTCAGAACAGGACGACCACCTCCTGAGGGAGGTTCGGCCTTGGGCAGACTGAACCCAGGCTCTTCACACTGAAGGACACTCCCTGCCTTTTTTATTTTGAGGCAGGGTCTCGCTAAGTCCCTAAGTTTGCCAGGCTACAGCTTTTGATCCTCCTTTCTCAGTCTCCCAGTGCTGGGATTACAGGTGTGCACCATCATGCCTGGCTCAACACATCCTTTTTAATTTCCTGTGGCACCAGGGACTAAACTAGGGCTTTGTGCATGCTAGGCAAATGCTCTGCCACTAACTATATCCCCAGCCAAGCAATGTCTTTCTAAGGAAAACAAAGCACTTTTACTTAGTTAGACTCTCAACAGGAAAGACCTCCTTGTACCACCAACAAACAAAATGAAAGAATTAGCCTTGGACTTGAAGTTCTCTCGGTATGCACCTAAGAGACTGCAGTCACAGGCTGAACAGGCGGTGATCACTAGTGTCATCACAGCCGAAAGACAGAAGCAGCACAGACACACAAATAAATAGAAGGCAGCCGGCCACACAGGGTCACTCAGCTAGAAACAGGCAGCAAAGCCAGGCTGCATCCCATGCTGGAATTTTCAGCACTCCGGAGGCTAAGGCAGGACAAACCTAGTCTCGACACCTTAGTGACTTAGACAGAACCTCTTTCAAAACAAGACGGGGTGCAGCTCAGTCCGAAAGCCCTGGCAGGAGTGTGTGCCCATGGCCATGTACATGCAAGCACACACACAGGGGAAATCTTGGTACCTGACATGGAGGAACCCTGAGGACATTACACTGAGTGAAATAAGCAGTCACAGATGAACACTGTGTGATGCTGGGCATGGTGGCATGCACCTGCTGTTCCTACACTGTGTGCAGCTGAGACAGGAGGATCCAGCCTGGGCAATGTAGGGGGACTCTGTGTCAAAAAAAAAAGGTAAAAGAACTGAGGTATAGTTCAATCCCTGGTACCAATTAAAAAAAAAAGAACTGAGGTATAGCTCAGGTCATGTGTTGATCTCTATTACTACAAGAAAAAAAAAATAAAAAAAGATCAAGATGGAATTTTTTAATATTCCATATATCCTGCCACTTTTTCCCCAGTACCAGGTTTTTGACAGTCTCCACACAGAGCTCCAGCCCCAGTCTTGTTTTACTTTTTTGAGTCCAGGGCTCACTAAGTTACCCGAGTTTGGCTGGAACTCATGATCCCTGTCTCAGACCCCCAGACTTCTGGTGTGCACCACCAGGCCCAGCTGTGTACCACAATTTAAAGTGATCCTTTCATTTTTGCCTCCGAAAGAAAGGGGGCAAGCAAGCACTTCCCGCTATGGGGAGGAACAGCCCCGAATGCCATCCATACCCGGACATACCTGTCATTGGATGCGTTGAGCTCTAGAACCGCATCCTTCATCGCGGGACCCAGCAGGGCTCGGGCCAGGCACAGGATGCTGGTGGTCTTGCCGGTTCCAGGGGGCCCCTGGCGACAGGTTCTGGTAAGTGCCTGACGCCTCCAGGAGGATCTGGGTGCAGCTGCTGCCCCCAGCACCCATGTCAATTCGCCAAGCACCTCTGGCTCCCTGCTGATGGGAGGGGAGGCAGGGCCCAAAGAAAAAACAGGCAGGGAAATGAGAGGCCAGGAAACCTGCAGGGCCCCGTACTCACAGCAATGATGATATTGGGCACATTCCCTTCTCTTGCAAAGACCTGAGTGAAAGATATCATTAAAACTGGTTATTGTTTCTTTTTCTCCATAAAATAAAATAGATTTGGAAAAATACAAGCAAAAACAAAAACAAAGGTTAGGCTGGGTGTTGTGGCCCATGCCTATAATGCTAGCACTCAAGAGGCTGAGGCAGAGGATCATTGTGAGTCTGAGGCCAGCATGGGCTACATAATGACTTCAAGGCCAACCTGAATTATAGAGCGAGATCCTGTCTCAAAATAAATAACTTTTTGAAAATCCAGTCAAATAAAACTGGTTAGAAGCTGGGTATGGTAGCATACATACCTATGCTCCCAGTATGCTACAGGCTGAGGCAGAAGGATCACCACAAATTCTAGGCCAATACATAGCATGACTTTGTCTCAAAAAAAAAAAAAAAGCATTACAAGTTTGAGACCAGTTTGAGCAACTAAGCAAGTACCTATCTCTAAATAAATAAGTAAATAAAAGTAGAGTTGGATAGTGCATGCCTGTAATTCCAGCAGTTCAAAGGCTGAGGCAGGAGGACCGTTGCAAGTTCAAGGCCAGCCTGAGCTGCAAAGTAAGCTCAAGGCTAGGCTGAACTGCATAGTGAGACACTGTTTGAAAAACACACTCCAAAAATTAATTAATTAGCCGGGCATGGTGGCTAGCATGGGCTGGCTAGGCATGGTGGTACACAGCTATAATTCCAGAACTCGGGAGGCAGAGGCGGGAGGATGGTTGCAGGTTCAAGGCCAGCCTGGGCTACAAAGTGAGTTCACAGCAGCATAAGCGCCTGCGTTGCAAGCACAGGCAGTGGTGAGTTCGATCCCCGGTACCGATAAAAAGGAAAAAGACAAAAAAAGAAAAAAAACCCAAAAAAACAAAGTGAGCTCAAAGCCAGTCTGAACTGCATAGCAAGAGCCTATCTCAAAAAGACCCCCCACCAAAAATAATTAATTAATTAATTAAAAACCTGTTAGAACCAGGCCTGGCAATGCATATCTGTAATCTAAGCTACTTGGGGGGATGAGGAAGGACGATTAAAAGTCTGAACCCAGTCTAGGCCGTTATCAAGCCCCTCTCTTGAAATAAAACATAGGCTGGAGATGTAGCTCAGTGCAGAAGCTCTGGGTTCAATCCTGGACCACAAAAAGTAAAATCAAAACCTGGCTAATCTACAGGCCTAGAGCACCCAGTGTGGTGTCATGCAGGTGTGAATAGGACGAACGGTGCTTGCCATGCAGCACACGCAACAGCGAACTCCTCGTTTTCCATATAAACCTGAGCGCCCACGATTGTCATCCACGCACAGCACACACCAGTAAACCCCCTGTCCATGGCAGGAACCCAGAGTACGCTGAGCCCTCCGGTTGGGCCCCGGTCCCATAGGCTGGGCTGCTGCTCCACTTGGCCTCCGAGTCTTTCTCCCACCCCACTTTCCTAGCCCATCCTCGATGCCTGGATGGCAGACAACCAGCCTGGAACTGGCCTCCAGTGTGGCCCCACTTGTTGTGTGTCTCTAAAGTACTCGCCTGTTAAAATATTTTACCTACTGAAACCACGGCCTGGCTAGGCATGGTGGTACACAGCTATAATTACAGTACTTGGGAGGCTGAGGCAGGAAGATCATTGTGAGTTCAAGGCCAGCCTGAGCTAAAAAGTGAGTTCAAAGCCAGCCTGAACTATATAGGGAGACCCTGTCTCAAAAAAAAGAAAAGAAAAGAAAGAAAAGACACTGCTCCACCCCAGCTTGCCTTCTGCCCTCGCTGTGAAACCCAAACTTTTATTTGGGGTGGGGTTTGCTGGAGATGGAACCCAGTGCCTAAGGCCAGCCAAAAAGTACTCTACCATGAGCTACATTCCCAGGCCTTTTTCAACTTTTATTTTGAGAGAAAGTTTTGCCTCATCCCAGGATTTTACGAGGCTGAGGCAGTAGGACCATAAATTTGTGCCCAACCTGGGCAAATCAGCCATTTGGCAAGACCCTATCTCAAAATAAAAATTTAGAAAGGACTGACCATGTAGCTGAGTCCAAAGGCCTGGGTTTAATCCCAGCACTACAGGAAGTAAACAAACAAGTCACTCACCTCCAGCCTGCTCACGGTGTCTTCATTTCCAACAATTTCATTCAGCTTTATAGGCCTGTATTTTTCAACCCTGTATTAAAAAAAAAATGCATAAGAATGTTGACTTGCCCCTACACCCATGCTTGACTAACTGAAAATAAATAAATAAATAAATAAATAAATAAAAGAATGTTGACTTGATAATCTTCACACTACCCTAAAGAAGGTCAGTCAGCCAGGCACAGTGGCACAGGTCTGTACTCTCAGTGACTCTGGAAGTTGAGGCAAAGAGATTGCAAATTGGAGGCCATACTGGGCAACTTAGCAAGATCCAATCTCCAAATAAAATTTTCTAAAAAAGGGTAAGGGGCTGGGAATTTAGCTGAGCAGCATAAGCGCCTGCCTCACACGTGCAAAGTTGTGAGTACAATCCCTGGTACCAAAAACAAACAAACAAACAAAATAGTGGGGATGCAGTTCAGCACTTCCTGGGTTCCATCTCCAGTACTACAGAAAAATAAACACACTTAGGACAATCCTAGGAGCTGTGCAGGATCACACATCAATAACTCTCTACCAAAGAGATACAAGTTTGTAATTTAATGAGATGCTGAAGACTCAACAGGAAAGCAAAGTCCAGGAGAACTGTCACAGGCTTCCTATGTACCACAGCACAGAAACACCCATGCTGCTGCAGAAGCCAGCAAAGGCCACCTGGAGCCAGTGCCACACCTTGGTCCCCTGGGCACCCTTGTTTCTCACCTGCCATCTGCAGACTCATGTGCCAAGCACACAACAGGCTAATGACACAGGAACCCAGGCCTACCTTGCAATCCTAGCACAACACAAGAGGCCTGGTCACACCTATAATTCTTCATTTTACATTCATGGGAGCCAGGTGTGGTGGTGCACTCGGAAGGCTGAGGCAGCCTGGACTATATAACATAGTGAGTTCAAGGTCAGCCTCAACTATATAGCAAGACCTTTGTCTCTCAATAAATAAATACGTGTCAGAAAATCACTTTCACAAACATTCAGCATAGAAGTAGTAGATCTGCTATGATCTGACCATCTTAAACTCCTTTTATAACCTTTTTTCAATTCTGCTCTGGGGATGGAAGCCTCAACCTCATCCATTCAAAGCAAGCACTGTACCAGAGCCACACCCCAGCTTGCCCTCTATTAGATTCTGATTTGCCTTCAGCCTGCACCTGCTCAGGTAACTGCTGGCTTGGCTACATGAGGAGCTGTGTGCAAAGACGTCTGCTTTCTCTAAAAGTCACAGGACACAGAGACTGCTGTCCTCCAAGGCCAGCAGATGGAGCACATTTGCTCCTTGTCTTTTATTCTCCACCCTTCTAGGCACTAGGCAACAGGAAAGGAGCTTCAAGCTCTTCAGGAAAGCAGAAGGCACAGACAGCAGAGCTCCTAGTCCTCCCTGACTTTCAAACTCTCAGGGAGATGGTGTGGCACATCCCACACAGTGCCAGCTTGGGTCTTTAAACTAAGGGTCCTACAAACTCAGAGAATCGGCAGCTGGCAACATCAGCAGTAAAACTGGAGTTGCACTTTGAACAAGGTTCACCAGCCTTCTCCAACCATGGGGGTTCTTTATTTCTCTCCAGAGTGTCATCAAACATAAGGGCAAATATACAGCCCATCCACCTTGTCTTTTATGGACTCTGCCTCTGAGTTATGCCCCCAGTCCTTGTCTATTTTGTTTGTTTTTGAGACAGGGTCTTGCTATGTACATGTAGTCCAGGCTGGTATTAAACTCACAATCCTCCTGCCTCAGTCTTCTGGGTGATGGAACAGGCAAGTGCCATCACACTCACCTTTATGTGTCTGTTTTTCACTTTGTTTTTATCAAATGTAAACTCTGTGGGGGCTGGGGATTTAGCTCAGCAGCATAAGCGCCTGCCTTGGAAGCAGGCAGTCGTGAGTTCGATCCCCAGTACCAATGAAAAGACAAAAAAAAAAAAAGTAAACTCTGTGGCAGCAGAGAATTATCTTTGTTTACTGACAGATTGTGATCATTTTGAGCAGCGCTGTGCAAGAAAAATAAAATGCAAGCTGTAAAGTAATTTTTAAATTTCTGGCACACACATTAAAAAGTAAAATGAAAATGGGTGAAATTAATTTTAGTAATAGTTTGTTGATCCTAGTAGTCAAAATAGTATTGAGGGCTAGGGATTTAGCTCAGCGGCATAAGCGCCTGCCTGGCAAGCGCGCGGTCATGAGTTCGATCCCTCCTACCAAAAAAAAATAGTATTGCTACGTGTAATCAATGTAAGAAATGACAGTGAGTCCAAGGCCAGCCTGAACCACATAGTGAAACCCTGCCTCAAAAAGGAATAGGGATTTAGCTTAGCGGCAAAGTGCCTGCTTGGCAGGTGCGAGGTCTTGAGTTCACTCACCGGTCCAAAAAACCAACCAAACAAACAAAAAAGCCCAAAATAAAGCAAGAAATGACAGATTACAGAAATACTTATTGAGAATAGGTGGTCCCACAGTCCTCAGTACTTAGGGCTAGGCGAGACGCCGCTTAGCGAGATCACCCTAGTCACCCCAAGACCCCAGATGGGCTCTCGCCTCGCCTTCTGCACGTCTCGCCTTTTGCAAACCCTCGCCTCCACGATGTCACCGGGCCGGGCAGGGTCCCCAGCCCCGGAGCGAGGCCCATCCCCGCCAGCCTCACGTCCAGGCACGCCCATCATCAGTGGCCTGCGCCCTCACCACGGCAGCTCGTAGTGGCTGGCGCTGCCTGATGCCTTGCTGGGAGCAGGCGCGGCGTCCTGTGGCCCTGGCTCCCGGGAGCCCTCGGAACTCGTCTGAACCTCCATTCTCCCGCCTCCTCTTCCCGCCGGAGGTTACGCACGGTGACGCCATTACGCAGAGCCCCACCTACGGTTCCCGAAGGACGTCGGGAGCGAGCGGAAACCACGCCCCCCTGGCCTCTCCGCGCCTGCGCACACTTCTCCAGTTAGCCTAAATTTGGCGGTTCCTAAATGAGGTGTGGCGCGATCCTCTCGGCCTCTCTGGGATTTTACGCTTGTGTGGTTTAGCGGAGACCCTCTCCACCGCGGCCCTCCGAGGCTGTGCTGGGATGGGGTGCCCCCAGGATCAGCTGCCTTCCGGCGGCTACCTGCGTCCCGCCGTGCTGCGTATTATCAGGGAATTTTCCCGGTCCTACAAGACGGTGCCCTTGCTGCCACTTTTTGCAAAGGAGGAAACTGTCCCTCTGACAGATGTGAAAAAGTACATATTCCAGAAAAATAGGGACTTCATATTCACAGTGAACGTTGTTTGGGGAATTAAAGTTTTTCTGTTGAACTGATCTCCTTTTGTTTCTTTGCCGTTGTTTTGCAGTGCAAGGGATTGAATTCAGGGCCTTCACACTGAGCTGCAACCCCAGCCCTTTATTTTTGACTTTGCCACAGTGTCTCATTAAATTACCCAGGCTGGGTTGGAATTTGGGATCCTCCTGCCTCAGCCTCCCAGAATTCCGGGATTTCAGGTGTGTGCCACCACACCTGGCTTCAGTCTTTTCTCTTGTACTTGAAATGTCATAATAGCGAAAAACCATTGTCTATTCCTTTACTATACAGAACTGAGTGGGCACTTATATTCTCCCTAGGCAGATGAAGAAGTGTGCTTAGAAATGACTAGATGATTTGTCCAATGTCATTTAGTTATAAATGATAGAGCCAAGATTCATTCCCTGATATGTTTTCAAAGGTCTTTATAGAAAATTTGTTCTATTGCCTTTAGCATGCTACATTATATAATTAATTTCAGGGCGAAAATTGGTGCTGGCAGCGCCTGAGGGCATAGCTCAGTGGAAAAGCACTTACCTAGCTCACTTGAAGCCCCGATTGGATCCCTAGCCAGGATGAAGTAGAAATGGATGGTTGGCGTCAAGTCGGTTTTGAAGACAAGGCTTGGGACCTGCTTCTCCCCAGGCTTAGCACAAAGCCTTGAGCACTATAAATGCTCCCATCTTGTAGTCACTTCCTTGTTTCTGGAACAAAATACCTGATATCTGCAACCTAAAGGAGGAGACATTTGTTTTGGCTCATAGTTTAGAAGATTCAGTCCATGACAGGCAGCTCCAAGGCAGAAACAGACCACTGGAAGGACCTGGCAGAGGACAGCTGTTCACCTCAAGGCAGCGAGAAGATAGGCCAGGAATCAGAGACCACAAAGCACACCCTTCCAGGCCACGCCCCCGGCGGCCATCCCAGCCCCGCCTCCCACTTGTCTAGCGATCAAGCATCCACACTTCCTGGGTCTGGGGATTTAGCTCAGCGGCATAGGTACCTGCCTTGCAAGCAGGCAGTCGTGAGTTAGATCCCTGGTACCGATAAAAAGAAAAAAGGAAAAAGAAAAAAAAAAAAAAAATCCACGCTTCCCTAACCATTGGGTCAGCTGTAATGGGCTGACTTTCACCAGATCACTGATTGCAGCCCTCAAATCTATGAGAATCTGTAGGTATTACAGGCGTGAGACCTTGAGGCAGCTGATTGGTGATCCAAATAAATATGGGCTCCAGAATTTATATTGCAAAAGATCTTGTACCTATTTTTATCCTTTTAGTTTTTGCTGCCCCGCACTCCACCAAGAAACCTTGTCCAGCTGGGTGTGGTGGCAAACGCCTGTAATCCTAGCACTCAGGAGGCCAAGGTAGGAGGATCCCCATGAGTTTGAGGCCAGCCTGGGCTACATAATGAGACCCTGTCTGAAAAAACAGCCAAAACAAAATGCTTCAGACTGTCAAGAACATGGAGTGTGCCCTTTTTCCTTCGATAGTGCTGCTCCAGCTCCCCCTACCCCAGACCCTGAGTACTGCCTGGACTCTGCTGTCCTATGTGAGCCTGGGGCCAGGAGAGCCCGAGGCAGGGGACCTGGGGGTAGAACTGTGCTTTTCTCCAAACTAAATCTTCTGTGACCAGCTGGACTTGGACCTAGATAGAGATCAGATCTTAACATCTGCAGCCACTGACCGCGATGATGGGGACCAGGGAGTACAGGGAATTTAAGCTCCTCAGCAAGGCTGCACATTCCTCCTGGCATCCAGAAAACCCCAGGACATTGGCTTCACCCCCAGGTTCAGCTCCCAGATCTCTCACAGAAAACAGCAAGCTGTTGGAAGAAAAGAAAAGAAGGAAAGAAAGTAGACTGAACTCAATCCAAACCAGGGGCTTCCAATAGTTTTCAGATAGGATAGATGATAAATCTTGGTTAAAATGACAACTGAGGAAAAAATGACAAGTGTTAGCTATTTATTTATTTATTTTATTGTTTTCATCTGGTGATGCTGTGTCCAGAATACATGTTTCTTCCCCTTCTTCTTCTTCTTCTTCTTCTTCTTCTTCTTCTTTTGTGGCACTGGGGATCGAACTCACAACCTCGAGCTTGCCAGGCAGGTGCTTGTGCCATTGAGCTAAATCCCTGCCATTTGTTTCTTCTTGACACATGAGGTTCGTGCTGTTTAGTTTATGTAACATTCATGTTCATCTTTTTCAACATCACAAGCTCATTAGAAAGGGAAAGAACGTATTTCCTATATCGTCCGCATAAGGGTTTTTCTCTAGGTGGGGACCCCCCCCCATTGTTCTGATTGGAATTAACTGGAAGCTGCTTAGAGATTAGCCCAAATTTTGCTTTCTGCCTTTAACCTGTTAACCCCAGGCCCGCAGCCTCTCTTTGTCTTTAGGGAGGGAACAGCCAATCCAAGTAGCAACCAGAGGCTTACGTCATTATAATCATCTTGTTGGGCGTGATGGGGCATAGCTGTAATGCTAGCACCCGGAGAGGGTGAGGCAAGAGGATTGAAACTTGGAGCCTCATTGGGCAATTAAGCAACTTAGTGGGACCCTGTTTCAAAGTATGAAATTTTACAAAGGAGTGGCAAAGGGAGTCCAGGATTTCCTGGGCTGTGGGCTTTTCCTGGAAGGAGTTCTTGGCCCCATACCCTGTCATCATCATCTCTCCCACCCACCATTTCTTTTTTCTTGCTCGGATCCACAATTGAGAATTATCTGGATTTATTGCCTTCTCTTCAGTTGCCTCTACCCTCGGGACAGTTGTGTGAAACGGCACTTTCTCTGTCCTTTTCCCCATGGTATCTGAGTGATGCATCCGGAGAAGCAGCTCCGTATTTCCTGAAGGGGCCAGGTGAGGTAGAGCATGCCTGTAATCCCAGCAGGAGGCTGAGGCAGGAAGATCTCTGTGAGTTTTCGGCCAGCTTGGGCAACACAGTTCAAGACCAGCCTCAACTATGCAGTGAGACCCTGTCTCAAAAAAGAAAGAAAAGAAAAAAACCAGGCATGATGGTGCACACTGGTAAACTCAGCACTTGGGAGGCTGAGGCAAGATCATCACTGAGAGTTCAAGGCCAACCTGGACTACATGGTGAGATCCTGTGTCTAGCAAATCAACAAACAGAATCATAATTCATGAAGGGATGAATGAACCAATCAAGCGTTCAGCGGCAACCAAGCAGGAGCACTCAGTAGCTGGATCAACTGGGACTGGGTAGGAGCAGGTTGGGAGAGCCGAGGCCCATGGGACGGATTGTGCAGGACACGGTGGCCTATTAAGAGCAGCAGGGAGCCCAGAAAGGCGGAAGCAGAAGCAGTGACCCAGTTTGCGTGTTAGATCACCATGTCTCCCGAGTGGCAGGTAGCCTAGAGGGACTCAAGGGGAACATGGGAAATACATGTAAAGGTTCATGTTTACTTTGTGGCCTTGATTATACATTTTGAGGCAGACTCTGCTCCTGTGCCCAGGATGGTCTGGAACTCCTGGATTCAAGCAGTCCTTCTGCCTCGGCCTCTGAATTATCTGGGACTATATCGCACGCTAACACACAGATCTCGTCAACTAGTGTGATAGCACACACCTGTGATCACAGTACTCTAGGAGGCTGCAGCAGGACAATTATCAAATTTAGGCCCAAACTGAGCCATTTAGCAACTTAGCAAGACCCCATCTCAGTGTAAAGCCTGTGGGTTCAATCCCTAGTACAAAAAAGAAAGAAAGAAGGAAAGCTAGCAAGCAAGCAAGTAGGGCATGGTGGCACATGCCTGTAATCCCAGCACTTGGGAGGCTGAGGCAGGAGGATCATTGCAAGTTCGAGACCAGCCTAGGCTACAAAGTGAGCTCAAGACCAGCTTGAACTGCATAGTGAGACCCTGTCTAAAAAGAGAGAGAGAGAGAAAGGAAAAAACCTTCTACTCCAAGTATTTAGTTTAGTTTGTCTGTTTTGAGACAGGATCTCTCACTAGTTTGCCCAGGCTGGCCTAAAACTTGTAGAGATTCTCCTGCCTCAGCCTCTGGAGAGCTGCGATTACAGGTGTGCACCACCCCAGGGCCTTGTTTCTCTTTTAGAAAAAGAAACACATGGGCCTGCCGAACTTCTTCACCCTATGCTTTCCTCGCCCTTTTCCTCTTCCACTTGACAGAAGAGCAAACTGCGGCACAGGGCAGTCTCCCGGAGGCAGGGTCTGGATGAGGACAGTGGTACAAGCCCAGCTGTCTCTGTGCGTTTTCCCACTGCTGAGACACTGGTCCCCTTTTCCCTGGCTGTTGACACCTGCAGGAGCCTGTCGGAAGGCCTGCTGGAGGTAAAGATCTGAAGCCCTGCATCTCTCCCCTTGGAGTTCAGGGCTCGGAGATTCCTGTCCATGGGCTTGTGGGGCTTATTTGGGTCACCTTGGAGACAAACAGCGCTGGCCCGCGGCTACAGGAAAGGCTCCTGGCTTCACTCTGGTTGACTCTGAGGATCCTGGAGCTGGATGGAGAGCGTTGTGCACCGCCATGCAGAGCAGTGAGCAGAGCAGTCCGGAGGTGACTATCCCAGGAGAAGCTTCTCTGGCTGCGGATCCCTCCTTGTCTAGGGAGGAAGAAGCGAAACCACAAGCCGTCGAATCCTTTTCTCTAGGTTTGCAAGAGAAGTGGTCACAGGAATTCACGTCATTTGAGGGGATCAGATACAGAAGATTCAAGTTCGAGACTTTTAGAAGCTTGGGACACTTTTGAGATATTATTGTTCTGAGGCGGGTCTCAAATCTGTAGCTCAGGTTGGTCCCAAAACCTCCTGCCTCATCCTCCTGAGTGCTGGGATTACAGGAGTGTGGCACCATGACCAGCTTTTGAGATGCTGCTTAAATGTGTCCCTTGAAACAGTGACACATAGGATGTCATTCTCTATAATTTGAGATGGGTCACATAAGGTCTGTAATGTCAAGAATTGTTACTGTACAGTGTTCCCTTACACAAAATTAAATTTTCAGGGCTGAGGATTTAGTTCAGTGGGGTAAGCGCAAGGTTGTGAGTTCGATCCTCAGTACCAAAAAAAATTTTGTTTTGAATTTTAGTCTTGTGAAGACTGAAAATAAACCTCTAAATTCTGCTCAGCTAAAGTGTGAGGTTTTAATGTTATATAAATAAAACTAGCAAAAATTGAATGAAGATTTCTTTTCATAGCTGGGATCTAATGTGCAGCTGTGAGTGAATTTAATCTGTAAAAGCAGCAGGAAAAAGAAAAAGCAGTGCTAGCCTGGTTGGTAGCCCACTCCTACAATCCCAGCACTTGGAGGAGGAGAACCACATCCTAGGCTACAGAGTGAGACCCTGTCTCAAAAATTTTTTTTAAAAAATTGTTTTTTGTACCACGAATTGAACTCACGACCTTGTGCTGGCCAGGTAGGCACTTATCCCACTGAGTCATATTCCTGGCCCCACGAAAAAACAAACATTAAAAAAAAAAAAAAAGCAGCTGTGAACACACCAGTAGGCAAAGATAAAGGCTCCATGTCAAACTGGTTTGCAAACATGGAACTCATCTTGTTCCTGGGCAGAGGCTGCCTCCTTGACACAAAATCTGATAGATTTCATGAACTTTTCCCTTTGCTGAGGTCACAGTTCCTTTATAGTACTGTATATCTTTTGTTTTGTTGGTACCAGGAATCAAACTCGGGACCTGTGATTGCAGGCAGGCATTTGTGTATCCCCAACCCTGTAGTGCTATATATGAATACATCACTTTTTCTAACAGTTTTCATTAGCAAACTTGGGATTACAAAGTGCTGTACTGAGATGGAAGACTGGGGCATGGGAAACTGGCTGGGGAACTGACCTGTTGATTATAAAGTTGTCAAAGCTTTGCCTTTGGACTTCTCTAGAGAACTCAAGCAGATTTTCAATAGGATAGCCTGAGTGGTGGGTCCTCGCACCATCTCTCGGGCCTTGGATGCAGAAATTCAGGGTGTCCTGGAGATCTGGACAGCATACAAGGACAGGCGAGCCACGGATTGCTGAGGTAACTTTTCAGCGTAGCGCTTGCTGCATTTCTGACGTGCAGTGTGTACTTTTATTTCTACTTTTTACTGAGCTCAACCTCGCTCTGCAGAGACATTTTCTCCTCATTATTCTTTCTCTCTCTCTCTCTGTCTCTGTCTCTGTCTCTGTCTCTCTCTCTCTCTCTCTCTCCTTTGAGATAGGGTGACAGGGTTTCACTATGTAGTTCAGGATGGCTTTGAACTCACTATGTAACCCAGACTATCTCAAATTTGCAGTAATCCTCCGCCTCAGCCTCAGTGCTGGACTCACAGGTGTGCACCACTACTCTCAGCCTTAACTTTTACTTTCTTGAATAAACTCACTGGGTTTTTTGTTTGTTTTTGCTTATCCAAATATGTTGGAGACAAGAAAAACCTGGAATCTGGGTTCTTCAACTGCAAGGAGAGGCATGGAACCCAGAACCTGATAATGTTTAGCTGGAAAGCCACTTTTAGAACTACCTGAGAATAATACCAGGTTAAGGGTGCATTGTAGAGCTGAACTTTTGAGTTACTGTGCAAGACTTTTTTCTTTTTTTTTCAGATCCATCTTATTTAAATATACATAGAAAAGAAGAAAAAAACTGTAACAAAATTTCAAAGCACATCAATGAGGGTCAAGATTTTTTCATGCTGTCTTTTGCAGTATATTTTCTGGAACCTTTTTTTTGTTGTTGTTGTACCAGGGAATCAAACTCAGGACCTTGCACTTGCCCGGTAGGCACTCATGCTGCTGAGTTATATATCCCAGCTGTGTTTTGTGAGACTTTTTTGGATTAAACTTCTGGTTACAAAAAATAAAAAAGATACAAGTTATCTGTCAATATGCTGTGCTACAATCTGACGAATTTTTAAATCTTTTATAAATTGAATCATCCTGTGTACAACTTTGTAACCTGTTGTTCTTTCACTTCATGTTACTTTGTGTGTGTGTGTGTGTGTGTGTGTGTGTGTGTGTGTGTGTGTATACTGGGAATTGAACACATGACCTTGCACTTGCCAGGCAGGCACTGTATTGCTGGGCTATAACCTCGGCTCCTACATGTCACTACTATTGTTTTTATTTGTTCTTCTTTTGAGACAGGGTCTTGTCTCATCTTGCTATGCAGTTGGGGCTGGCCTTGGGCTCACTTTTTAGCCCAGCCAGGTCTCAAACTTGCAAACGATTCTCTTGCCTCAGCCTCCCGAGTGCTGGGACTACAGGAGTGCACTACCATGCCCAGTTCTGTACCTATACTTTTAAAAGTGCCAGATTATTCATTTACTAACAAATTTGTCAGCATCTGCCAAGAGCCAAGCATTGTAAAGGCCCTGCAACTAGAGAGTCAGGACAGCCCAACAAGCAGGAGGATCACTACAAATTCAAGGCCAGCATGGGCTACAGAATGAGACCCTCCCTGGGGAGGGGGTGGTGTGCAGAGTACAGATACATGAAATGAATCCAACTTTTGAGTTTGTTAGGTGTGTTTTGGGTAGAGGCTGTGGAGTGTTAGTGTGCCTGGGGATTGGATCTAGGGCCTTATACACGCTATGTAAATGCTGTACCATGCCTTAGCCCCTGTATTATTTTTGATGAAACACACATACAATCTTTATATATTTGACAAATTAAGATTCGAAATGCTGCTGGTATCCTGGCTACCTGAGAGGCCAGGATAGGAGGTTTGCAAGTTCAAGACCTGAGCAACTGAGGTCCTGTCCCAGAGTTAAAGAGACTTGTTCTGTTGCCCAGGCTGGACTCAAATTTGCAATCTTTCTGCCTCAGCCTCTCAAGTAGTTGGCATTACAGGGATAAACCACCATGCTCAGCAAATATTTATTTAGACTCAGTGTGGGTATGTAGATCAGGTGGCCTTGAACTTACTGTGTAGCCCAGACTGGTCCCCAAATCCTGACCATCCTCCTGAGTGTGGGGGATGCAGGTGTGTGCACCACACCTAGCAAGCTAAGAAATTCCATAATGAAAACTGTCACACCGATCAATTGCGAGTGGGTGACTAAATTCCAGTGGCAACCTCAGCCACACCTGCCTGCTGCTTCTAGCCTCTGGGAGAGCTGCTGGGTGGTGCAGTCAGGCTCCTGTCTGGATGGGTACCAAATCTCAGCTCTCCTAGCACAGGGCTCAGTCCCTGCCTGTCTGCTCCTGCAGCTCTGGCTCACCGCAGTCTTGGGTAAGCCCCGAGGGTGCCGATTCCTGGAAGGCTGTGACTCCTCTGGGTAGGAATATTTTTCTTCCTTCAGGACTCAGCACTGGGCCCAACTTGGACAAATCATAGCTGCAGTTCAGATGCAGCAGCCACACTGCAGTTCACTGGGCCCCCGGGGCTGTTAGGTGAGGAGTGGAACCAGAAGGCCTAAGTTTGCAAACTGAGACAGCATCAGGGCACAAATGAGCCGGACACACAGACCTGCCATTCTATCACCCTGGGAGGCTGTCAGCAGGGTTGCAACTTCATCATTTAGTGAGTACGAAAGTCCCAAAGTAAAGAAAAACAGGAATGGTTGGCAAACACTGTAATCTCTGCACTGCAGAAAGCTGAGGCAGGAGGATGGGACATTGTTAAAACCACAAATCTGAGACCCTGGTGTGGGCAGAAGGGACAGCTTCTTGTAGCCGAGGCCAGGCCCTGGTTACGGAGCCAGTGTGGGTTCCAGAAGCGTGAAGCCTGGGGGAGATGTGGAGAGAGACCAAAAGTGGGATTAGCCCTTGCAGGCTAGGGCAAGGGGCTGGAGGGGACGGGGAAGGGGGATGCCCAGGGCCACAGAAGCAGGAGAGGGTCTGGAAGAGAATCAAAGATTCCCCCCTCCCCACGCCCTTCCCTGCATTGGGGATGGAAACCAGGGCTTTTGCACTGAGCTCCATCCGAGCTTTTTTCGTTTTTTATTTCAAGGCAGAGTCTCCAAAGTTGTCTAAACTTACCTTAAACTCAAGATCCTCCTGCCTCAGCCTCCAGTGCTCCGCTTCTAGGTTTAAATCTAGGGGGCCGGGAACAAAGGGACCCCCATGGATCAGGGGAATGGAATTCGTGCAAGGTGAAGTGTCACCTGACTCCATTTAAAGACCCTGGGGTCCCAGCCCCACTGCTCTCCAGGCCCGAGCCCTCACCCATCAGTCCTCCAGTGCTGGGACGGGAAGGGGGGTGGGCGGGTCTCCACTTAGCTTTGTCCTGGATGTCCCGCTCTGGACAGCCCCCGATCTACACCACCGCTCCTCACTGCCCGCAAATATTTACATCCTGTTTACGCCAAGGCCTCCCAAGGCCTCGATTTTCATGAATAAAATATGAGTTTCTAGGCCGGCCCTGCTAGGGAAGAAAACCCCAGCCGGCTAGCGGGACCAGAGGCAGCTGAATGTTTGAGTTGCTGTCGCCGCGCGCGCGGTATTTGGAAGATGTGTTAATTAGTCGGTCAAGGTGACCAGGGACGAGATTTTTTTCCTTTTCCCATTTTCTATACTACTGAATTACAAGCAATGAAGCCAGCAAGCTTTACTCATGGCTCATTTTCCTGAGAAACGCAAAGACTTTGTTTCATTTTTTCTGAGACGTTGTTAAAATCAAGCCCGAACAACTCGGTACTTAGGCAGAGGAGGACTTTTAGAGGTAACACAGCGATGCTTTCACTCACTCACAAAGCAGTTCTGGGTGGGAGGGAGGACGGCAGAGAGCAGGCCCAGGGACTCCCAGAGAAGCCCTGACAGTGCCCCAGGGGTCCCTGCTGCTCCGTCACACTATCTGTGCATGCAAATATTTTAAGTCATTTTTAAAAATTGAATTTTTTGTCCAAACAGCTTCCGATCAACAAAGAACTAACCGGAGGATGCAGACAGTGCCCCTGTAGCCTTCTTCTTTACACAGTCTCCCGTGTTAGGGATGCTTTGCATTAGCCTACTACATTTGTTAAAGTGGATGAACCAAGTCAGGCCTGGTGGCACGTGCCTGTGATCGGAGCACTCTGGGAGGCTGAGGCAAGAGGACCCAGCTTGGACAACTCGGAAGACCCTGTCTCTAAATCAACATATAAATAAATAAAAGGATAGGATGTAGCTCAGTACAAAGATACTGAGTTCAGTCCCCAGTACTGCAAAACTACATAAATAAATCACAATTCACAAATACATACTGATTCATACACCCTTACAAAGTAAAGCCTGCATTAAAGCCCCCACTCCCCGCTGGGGAGGGGACATGGTCCCTCACTGGCCAGGCAAGTGCTGAGTCCTGGGCTCCAGACCCAGCCCCTTGCGGGGACTTGGATCCAAATAAAAAGTGTTCTGATTTCCCTGTTTTCAAAAATCTCACTGGAGTCGGTAATCTGAAGACGCTGATTTTATGGCAGGAAGTTGTGGGTAGGATCACTCACAGCAACCTAAGAGGAAGTCAGACATTCCCAGAAAGAAAGAGGCATCAGACTTTCCCAACTTCAGGCCAGCTGTGTGTGTGTGTGTGTGTGTGTGTGTGTGTGTGTGTGTGTCACTCTCTGTGTATCCGTGTGTGTCTGTGCCAATCTCAGTTCCAGTGTTAAGCCCGCTTCTGCTGCCCATCCAATTCCTGTGTGTGCCTCTGTGTGTTTCTGTCCCTGTCCATGCATGTGTGTCTGTGTCTATGTGGGTTTGTGTGTCTCCATGTGTGCTTCTGGATTTGGGTCACCTGGAGTGTCCCAGCCTCCCTCTATCTGAGGGGTGGATGCCACTTGGCACCCAGAGTCCCGGCAACAGTCTCTAGGACACAGAGATGACTGCAGTCAAAATGCCTGGGAGCACCTCTGTGGGAGGGTGCACACCTATAATCCCAGCATTCTGGGAGGCTGAAGCAGGAGAATTCCCCAGTATTGGAAAAGAGAAAAAAGAAAGAAGAGGAAGGAAGAGAGGGAGCGAGGGAGAGAGGGAGGCCAGGGAGGCCTTACCTTCTCTCCACGCCCTAGGAAACCCAGAGGCAGCAAGAAGCCTCAGGGCTTCGGGAGGCCCACCTGGGAGCCGCCCAGGACGCTCAAAAGCAGAGCCCCGGGCTTCTCCGCGTCGCTGCCCCCTACCATCCCGCCATTGTCCCAGCGGGTATCGAGCTGGGCCCAGTCAGGTCGCCTTTCGCAAGCAGGGGCGTGGCTGCCACTGGGAGGTCGCCATGGAGACGCCCAACTCCACTCTGTCCACCCCACCCAGCGCTGCTGCGCAGAGCGGCCGGCAGCCCCCACGCGGCAGCATGCACGGACCCCGCGTGGGTTTGTTTCTTTTATTTTTCTTAAAAGAAATGAATGGCTGTTGCCGGAAAGAGTGGAAAAGCGGAGAGATACACCACCCGGGCCAGTCTTTTCCCTTTACAGATCATAAGATGATGTTGCACGTAGCCACCACGTTATATGGGACGCAAACGCACAGGCGTCCTCGTGCTGTCACGAATTCCCCCAGTCAGCAAACCGGAGGCTGCAAATCTTCATCACTGGGCTGGGCGGGGTGCCCCGGGGTAGCACACTGGCCTAGCGCCTAGTGTGCTCCAAGCCCAGGGCCCAAAAGATAAAATAAAAGATCTCATCACGTGGGTGTTGCTTGTTGTAAGGTAAAAAACAAAGTAAACCCGACAGATGCCTGCAACCTCAGCACTCAGAGGCTGAGGCAGGGGGACTGGTGAGTTCATGGCCAGCCTGGACTTTGTAGTGAGACCCTGTCTCAAAAAATAAAAATAAGGGCCAGGGATTTAGCTCAGAGGCATAAGTGCCTGCTGGCAAGCTCGAGGTTGTGAGTTTGATCCTCAGAACCAAAATAAAAAAGTAAAAATAAAAATGTGAAATAAATAAGTAAGCCAGACATGATGGTACCATGTGCTTATAATTCCAGTACTGCAGGAGGGTGAGGCAGGAGGATTGCAAGTTTGAATCTCACCCCAACGATTTTTAGAGACCCTGCCTCAAAATAAAAAAGGCTGAGTCAGGCATGGTGGTGCACACCTGTAATCCCACGACCCAGGTCGCTGAGGCAGGAGGATCATTGCAAGTTCGAGACCAGCTTGGGCTATAAAATGAGCTCAAGGCCAGTCTGGACTGCATAGGGAGACCCTGTCTCAAAAAGCCTGGAGACGGAGCCTAGTTAATATGCTCTGAGTTCAGTCACCAGCACACCACAAACAAACAAACATGGAAATAGGTCCCTCAATAAATAAATGTAAGTCAGAGAGCAGCCCGGGTCCCTGCTGCAGCTGAGCTCCCCAAATAGTCCCATACTGCGAAAGTGCCATACTGGGTCACTTCCCCCACTTGTGGGGCTGCAGGTTCAGGCTGTGTAGCAAGAGAATGAATGACCAAGTCAGCACTTTCTGTGGGGACAAAGGTCTGTGACAGGTCTTGGGCGGGACCAGTCCCTTTTGGTCACCTCCTCCCTTCCTGGCCCCTCCAAGAAGCAGGGGCCCGGCTGCAGGAGGAGCAGGGCAGAAGAGCCTGTCTCCTCCCAGGGCTGGGGCCAAAGGCACCTTCCCGGTAGCTGTGAGAGGATCCAAGGGGCAGTGACCAGCTCTGGCCACAGTGCTGCCCCAGGTCACCCTGGGGTGGGGACAGGAGGTGGAGGCCCAATCTGGGCAAGGCCCGAGCAGCTCAGGGGCATCACAGCAAGCCCCAAATGGGTCTACCTGGGCAAGTCCCTGTCCCTCTTAGGACTTAGTTTCCCCAGCTGAGTGAGGCCGGACCGGGGCTAGCTGACAGCTTAGTTTCCCGTTGGCTGATATCTGTGGGACCCTGGCCATGTTCCAAACTCTGCTTGGTTCTAGAGGTTCTGGAGAGAAGGAAGGGCACTGTGCCAGGGCTGAGATGCCCTGGGCACGGCTTCTGGTCCCTGAATTCCCTTCTGTTCAGAATCTGCGCTGCAGACCAGAGGCCTCAAGGGGCCTGCGAATCACTGGAGCCTGTTTGCAAAATTGTGGGTGTGAGGCGAGGCTTCTGTGCGCAAGCCAGTTTTGTTTTGTTTTGTTATTTTGGTTCTGTGAATGGAACCCAGAACCTTGCACTGAGCTGCCCCATGCTCAGCGCTTTTTATGCGGTTTATTTAGAGATGGGGTCTCCCTAAGTCACTAAATTGCCCAGACTGGGATGTAACTTTCAACCCTCCTGCCTTAGCCTCCCAGAGTGCTGGGGTGACAGATGGGCACAGCCAGCTAAAAGTCCAAACTCTAAAGTTTGGCTTGCACTCAAGGCCTTGTATGATCTTATATTTTGGAAAAGTGTTCCTATTTTCTTTAAAGACACAGGTGTAGGGTTAGGGCTTAGCTCAGTGACATAAACACCTGCCTAGCAAATGTGAGGTCATGAGTTTGATCCCCAGTACCTAAACAAATAACTAAATACCTACAATCAAAAGACGCGGGTGCATGTGGATTTTGGAGACTGTTTGTGATCCTTGGAGGAAGAGTGAATTTTTTTTTTTTGTAGCGGGGATTGAACTCACAACCTCGAGCTTGCCAGGTATGTGGTACTTACCCCATTGAGCTAAATCAAGGCAAGGCAAGGAAGACCAAAGTTTAATCGTGTATGTGCCAAGTGGTCTTCACAGTTTCAATCTGCACTGTCCATGTTTTATTTTCCCCACGCTTAGGCACTTTAAATATTTTATTCAGATATAAGAGTAGCAGTTCTGGGGCTGGGAATATAGCTCAGTGGCATAAGCATCTGCCTAGCAAGTACAAGGTCCTGGGTTAGATTCAAGAAACATTAGAAACTGTTATATGCTCAGCAATAAAAGAATGTCCAAAAAAATCCCTTCTGAATTCTGTGCAACATGCCACTTGGCCGTTAAAAAGAAACGAATATTTGGTGGCCATAAGATTAATAGAAATAAGATAGATTTGAAATTATTCCTACTCTGTCCTTAAGTCAGTTAACACCCTCTCTGACTGTGCTTGGCTTTATTTGAATTAATGGTTTTCATTTATCCATTGTTCCCTCCATAAGTTCGTTGGTTTAGGGGCTGGGGATTTAGCTCAGTGGCATAAGCAAGCTTGCAAGCAGGCCTTGCAAGCAGGCAGTCGTGAGTTCCATCCCGGGTACCGATTGAAAAAAAAAAAGTTCGCTGGTTTAACAATCATGTAAAAAATTGAGCATAGTTACCTCAGGATTAAATGATGCACCCTTGACTTATTAAAGTCTACCATAAATATTTTTTAAAAATTTTATTTAAGGAGAAAAGAAAAAAAAAGCAGAGAAAGGGTACAAGTTATACAGATTTACAGAAAAAAAAAATAAACAGTAGGAAATCACTAGTTAATGGATTACATATTGTCATCTTAGAAATAATTGTTCAAGTCACAAAATTAAAGCTTGTAAAGTGGACATTCCAACAATGATACTGCAAACAGTTCTGTTCAATGATCCAATAAAACTCTGTGATATCATTTCCTATCTTATACACTTAAATATACATGCAGTTATATAGTTTACATAAATATTTTTTTAATTACCTTTAGGCAAACATTTATAATCACCTTTTTTTTCCTTCTTTTTTTTGTATTTTTGTATTTTTACCGGTACCAGGGATCAAACTCACAATCACACGCTTGCAAGGCAGGCACTTATGCCACTGAGCTAAATCCCCAGCCCCCCCTTTTTTTCCTTTTTGTTCTGTCCCCCACCCTTTAGTACTAGGAATGGAACTCAGGTCCTTGCCCTTGCCAGACAGGCGCTGGGCCACTGAGCACTATCCTCAGCCCTTCATTTCTAGTCTTTTTGAGACAGGGTCTCACTGTGCAGTTCAGGATGGCTCAAACTCATTACGTAGCCCAGGCTAGCTCTGAGCTTGCACGGTCCTCCTGCCCCAGCCTCCTGAGTGTTGAGGTTCTGGGAAACACGCATGTGCCACCACGCCCAGCTTGATCTTCTTTTCTTTCTCTTTTTTTTCCTGCTTGCTTGTTGCTTTTCTTTCTCTGCCAGTTTTGGGGCTCAAGCTTGGGTTTCATACATGCTAAGAGGTTCTCTACCATTGAGCTACAATTCCCAGCCCTTTTTAAATTTTGAGGAAGGGTCTCACTAAATTACTGGATTGGACTTGAACTTGTGATCTTCCTACCTCAGCCTCCCAGAGTGCTAGGATGATAGGCAGGCACTATCATGCCCATCTTGACTTTTTATTATTGCCATCAATAACTTCTTGTTGACTAACTGTCCAGGGCACCACACATAGTTCACCCTTGACAACAACCAGAAAGGGTGGCCAATCAACTCCATTTTACAGATGGGGGAACTGAGGCCCAAAGAGGCTGGGTGACTTGCCCCTTCACTGTAGGCCGGGACCTGGTTCTTACGGCTGCACCATGACACCCTGGCCACATGCAGGGATGGGCTGCTTCCTGGTGCCACCCCCACCCTCTGTTGCATTGAACCTCTATCCCCCCTGCACTCTGGGGTCCCCCAACCCCTGGCCCTCTCAGCTGTGCCCAGGGCTCCACTGTCTCCACAACACCATCATACTTTTGCCAAACTGAGTTGAAACCCTCTTCTCAATTTACAGATAAGGAAACTGAGGTAAGACATTCACAAAAGTTATGGACACTACAGCAGTGGAGGATGACAGCAAGTTCATTCATTCACTCAACAAACATTCTGGAACCTGTGCCCTCTGCAGGCAGCCTCTGCACTCTGCACAAGCTCACTGTGGTATCTCTGTGCAGGCCACACCTGCAGGGCACAGCCATGTCCCACGCTGAGGGGACACCTGGCCCCTCTGCTAGTGAGCTCCATGGGGACTGTGTTCCCCCATGAAGAAGGCATGAATGCTGCTGGGGAAGCTGCTTATCAAAGGCACAAAGGGAAACCGAGGCACGCAGGCCTGGTTAGCCAGGGGCATTCAAGACTTTGGAATCTGTCACTTCCTGGTACCAGAGCAGGTACTTGGCTTCTCCCCACCCAGGAGGATGCTGAGAGCGCTTTTCTCTCCTTCCATAGAGCAGGAGACAGATCCATCCAGGAGGCACGTGGCACGTGGAGCCACGTGGCTCCACACCTGCTCTGGCCTCAGGGGATACCTGAAGTTTTCATCTAATAGCACTGTCTCCCCTTTATTTCCCATTTCGGTATTGGGATTTAACCCCAGGGCCCTTACACTGACTACATTTTCAGCCTCCTTTATAAAAGTACTATTTATGTGGGAGAGAGGGTCTCTCTAAATAGACCAGGTTGGACTAAGACTTGTGCTCCTTCTGTCCCAGCCTCCCAGATCTCTAGGATTATAGGGGAGTATCACTAACCCTGCTTTCGAGTTTAACCCTCCGGATACTCCGGACCAACTGCCAGCAGAGGACGGCCCAACATGCTTTCATCCCTCCACCACGGTCTGAACACCCATGGGAGTGCTGGACTGCTACAAACCAGGCGCGTTTCCCGCCCGCCCATCCCCTTCCGCACAGAGCCGCGGCCTGAGAACCCGGAGGCCGCCCGCCCCGCTAGGCGCGCAGGCCCCGCCCCCCGCCCCGCCCCGGCCCCGCCCCCCGCGCCGGCCCCTTTTGTTCCCTCCCGGAGCCCCGGCGCTCGCTCAGCGGTCGGCTGCGCTCGGTGGCGCGGGGCGCAAGCGGCGCCGGGCTTCGCTCGCGGGCGCCTCCCTTCCCGCGGCCGCCGGGCGCGAGGCCGGGCGGGCGGCCATCGGAGCCCACGGTCTGGGGGGTCCGCGCCGCGCGGGGGCGCAGCATCCTGGCCCCGGAACGGGCGGAACGAGCGGCCGCGAGCCTGCGCCGGGAACCAGGTAGGCGCCGCCCGAGGGTCGCGCGGGCAACAAAGGACGCGGAGGCGCGGGGGGCGCGGCGTGGCCGGGGCGTGGGCCGAGGCGGGAGAATCTCGGCCGCGGGTGGGCGTGGGCGTGGGCCGGCCGCGCTGCTCCCCCAATTTCGCCGCCGCCCTCTGGGGCCGGGGTCGAGGTCTGCGCGCCTCCCGGGCAGCGGGGCCCCTCCGCGGAGCTCCAGGCCCCGGTCCCTCCCCGGGCGCCGCCCCCGACGCTGCCGGGTCTGCGGTCGGCCCCGCCCTGCCCCGCCGCCTGGGGTCTCCTGGCGGGCGACGTCCTCTGCGAAACTTGGTGGCGGCGCGGCCGCAGGGCGGGGGCGCGGGCCGTGAGGCAGCAATCTGTCCCCAGCCCCCTGTGTCCCCGGGAGGGGCCGCGGCGATGCGGCTCTCGTGGACCCGGCAGGCCCCGCCTGTGGTCGCGGTGCCCGTGGCACTGCCACGCAGGCCCGGCCCCACCCTGCGAAGGTCAGTCGAGGGGACGGCGGGGAGCCGCACGCCCAGCATCGCGACCCCGAGGCGGGGATCCCCTGCCCTTGTGGATGGGAGCCGGGCTGAGGCGCCTGCGTTCTCCCGAGACGCCCCCCGGAGGCTGATGGGGTGGGGCCGGCCCGGGCTGTGGGGAAAGGAGAGCGGGGGTGCAGGCAGCGCGCCGTGTGCCGGAAGCCTTCTCCCTGGCATTCGCGAATGTAAACAATGAGCCCTTCATTCATCGGCTGCGGTCACCTGGTCTGGCACTGCCAGGGGCCGGCGGGTCCACAGAACCCCAGAACCGGACAGCCGGGTGCCTGGAGGACCAGCCTGGCGAGCGCGATGATGGGGTGCGGGACGGCCCCCCAAGAAGGCCCGGGCCGATGCTCGCGACCGGGGTGTACAGCGGGCCTTCGCGCTGGGGACGCACGTGGGCGAGGACTCGGGGTCGGGAGTTTGGAGGGGCTGTGAGTGTCGCGCGCGGGGTTCAAGGCCAGGGGACCCCGCGGAGGGGAGGGAATGTGTCCTGCTTACAGTAGGCGCTCTCAAGCACCGGCTGCGCTGGTATATGCGGCGTCCACGGCAGTGATGTTGGGGTCCAGTTTTGGGGGTGGAGTTGGGGAACGGGAGCCCCGCAAGCACAAACGGGGCATCTGCATGCTGACCCCATGATCCTGTTGGGGAGGCCCACGGCGGGGCGCTAGTGCCTCCGCAGCTCAGTGGGCACCTTGGGGTTTCAATTCCTGCCCCACTCTTCATCTGTGTGGCCAGCACTTCGCTGCCTTGATTTCCCCTTCTGTAAGACAGAGAAACTTCCGGTTGCCGAGGCAACGCACGCCCGTGACAGCGTATTTGTTGCAGCTGCTGCACTAGTGACCTTGCAGACGGCTCCTCACACTCAGGGTGACAGGAGGCTCAGCCTCTGCCCAAGCCATGTGTCCTCCAGGCGGCCCTGCCCGCCTGCCTGCCCGGGCCTGCAGCCACCGCGCTCCTTGGCCATAGTAAGTCACTGTCCCCACAGTTCCCCTCGTCCCAGCTTCCACCTGTGTGGTCCTACAGGTTCTCCCTGGGCCTGCTACCCAGAAAGTCGATGCCACCTGCTCCAGTCTGGCCTGTGCCTGGCGCGGGGAGTTGCCCCTCTGCTCCGCACCTGGGAGAGCGTCCGCCTTCGCGCACCTGTGAAACGCTCGGTGTGTGCGGCGGCTCCGGCGCGCGCACGGTGCTCCCGCTCTGTGCAGCCTCACTGCTGCGGTGGACCCGGCGGGGCAGGGCGGGGCGTCGTAGGGCAGAGGTCGCTCTTTGCCCGGCGTCCCTTGGCTGAGCTGAGCTGAGCTGCTAGGGTTGCAGGGGAGGCTCGCCCCCGGCCCCCTGCCGGGCCTGGTTTACCCCTGCAGTTCCGCCCAGCGCACACACCTCCACCCAGGTGCTCAGGTTCAAAGTCCGATGGAGCTGTCCTCCCACGTGGCGCTGCACACGCGCGCGCGCACACACGCACGCTTCTCGGGCTTGTTCTGTGGACTCGCCTGGCTTGGGGAGACGTCGGTGGTGGTGGTGGGGTGTGCTTTGCTCGTCGAGCTGCCTCCAATTAGGGACAAGGAAAGGGACTTAAGAGCAAGCAGCTGGGGACTTGGCCCACGACAGTTGCAGGCCGCTGGCAAGCAACCCCTCCTCCACCGCTTCCTCTCTGGCTGTGGTTTCATTTTCTCTGCCTCTCCTCTCCCGCCAGGCTGGTGCATTTGTCCTATCTTGGCCTCTCCCGGCTTGTGAGTGTGGCCACCAGTGATGAGCTCTTTGGGAAAGGCGAGGTCACTTTCTCTGTTCTGGGGAATAGGCTCTGCTCTCTGGGCTGGGCACAGCCCGCGGATGGGGCACTGCATCTTGGAGGTGCGAAGGGTTGGGGGAGCTGGGTGAGGAGCTGAAGTCTCTGTCCATGAGAGCCCACCGAGGGGAGGGGCAGCACAGGCTGAAGTGGGCACTTGGCTGCCTCTGGAGCCTGACCTGGGGCATTGTCCTTCGGTTGAGGGGAGGTGGATGGTCTGAGCATCTGGAGCCTGGGGTCTAGTTGCTACCTTGAAAACAGCACCTCTTGAGTCCTGTCTGTCCTATCCCCCAGGAAGTGCCAGGATCCTAACCTGATCCTAATGAGCTAGTTTCTTTGCTTCTGTTAATGCAGTATTAATGCAGGGCTCTGTCTGCCCTCTCCCGGGGCAGCTTTTTGCTTTTTTTTTTTTGGTCTTTTCCCTTTTTACCTGTACCAGGGATTGAACTCATGACTGCCTGTTTGCAAGGCAGGCGCTTATGCCGCTGAGCTAAATCCCAGGGGCAGCGTTTTTTGCCTCAGGCCTGGACCTACACCTTCCGGAACACCCAGGACCATTGGAGGGCAGAAGGTCAGGCTTCCAGGAGGTTTCCAGCCCTGTGTGTGTCCCAGACCACTGCTTGGCCAACCTGACCCAGCCCAGAGAAGCCCTCAGATGGCACTGAGTGGGCAGACACCAACCCTTCCCTTCTGTCTTGGTTTTTTTTTTTTTTTTGGTACTAGGAATAGAGCTAAGGACCTCTCACTTGCCAGGCAGGCTTTTGCTGTTGAACCATACCTCCATCCCTTCCTCCCCCTCTCCTCTCCTGTCCTCTCCTTCCCTCCCCTCTCCTCTCCTCTCCTCTCCTCTCCTCTCCTCTCCTCTCCTCTCCTCTCCTCTCCTCTCCTCCTTCCCTCCCCTCCCCTCTCCTCTCCTCTCCCTCTCCTCTCCCCTCCTCTGCCCTCCCCTCCTCTCACTTTTCCTCCCCCTTTTTTCTCTTCTCTTTTCCTTTCCACTTCCTCTTCTTTCTTTTCTGGGAATTGAGCCCAAGACCTTTGCACTGAGCTATAGCTCAACTCTTTATTTTGAGACAGGACCTCCCTAAATCACTAAGTTGCCCAGGCTGGACCCAATTTGTGGTCCTCCCACCTCAGCCTCCTAGAGTCCAGGGATGACAGGCCCACTATGCCACCTGTCACTCAGCTTTCTGAGCATGAAAACATGCACAGGTGTTGCACACCTGTCATGCCACTTCTGCGGAGCCTGAAGCTGGGGGCCCAGGAGTTCAAATTTGGCCTGGGCTACAAAGTGAGCCCAAGGCCAGCCTGAACCGAATAGTGAGACCCTGTCTCAAAAAGACAGAAAAAAAAAAAAAAGATTAAAAATGAACAAGAAAATTGAGGCCAGGGAACAGCCAGGGTGGCTGGCATTAAAGGAAGCTGGAGGGGACTTCTAGTTCAGGGCACACACTTCCTGCTGGCCACGGGTCCTGGGTTTGAATCCCAGCTATGTTATTGGTTAGTTGTATGACCCCGGGCAAGTGGCTTGATGGCTATTGGTAGAGTGGGGGGGTCATAATAATACAGGTGTTATTACACCTCAACATCATAATACACCACTTTGTAGATGGCCGTGAAGATTAAATGAGTTAATGCGTATAATTGAGTCAGAACCCCCAACTCCACATATACCCCCATGGGTTCTGGGTCCTGTGACCTTGCACTGGGCATCCCTGTGAGCAGAGAAATGTGTGGACGCTGGCTGCCCCTCCCCAAGATCACCAGCCTGTGTAGGGCTGCAGGTGCTTGGCAGATACCAGATACTATTTTTGTTTTTGTTAGTACAGGTGATAGAACCCAAGGAGTGCTGAGCAACATCCCAGGCCTTTTTGATTTTTATTTTGAGACAAAGTTTTGCCCAATTGTTTAGGCTGGCCTTGAACTTGTGATTGTCCTGCCTCAGCCTCCCAGAGTTCTGGGATTATAGGCATAAGCCACCACGGTAGGCTATGTGTGTGTGTGGAATTGTCACAGATCAAGTGCAGGGCCTCATGCATGTGAGGAAGCACTCTGTCACTGAGCCACACCGCAGCTCTTGTCCTAGCTGTGTTGGTGGTACATATCCATAATTCCAGCTACCTAGGAGGCTGAGGTAGGAAGATGGCAGATTTGAGTTCAACTGAGGCAATTTATTGTTTTGTTTTGAACAACAGTGCAGGTTGGTGTTGAACTTACCATGTAGCCCAAGGTAGCGTCTGGTTCAGTGACCCTCCTGCCTCAGCCTTGTGAGTGTTACCGGGTGTTTTTGTTCTGTTATGTTTTAGCAGCCCTTTTATATTTTATTTGTCCCAGGGTTTTGGTAAGTTGTCCAGGCTGTTCTTGAACTTGCAGTCCTACCTAAGTGGGAAACAAACAAAGCTTTGTTTCAGGACGTCGAGTGCAGGTTGGTACCTACCGTAGTGTGTATTTGTGTTCACCTTTCTCACTGCTGTATTTTATGCCACTGCATGGAGAAACCAGAGGCGTCTGTTCCTTGTGCTGGGGCGGGTGTTGGTGTCACTGGCAGTTTGGGCGTGAGGAGCAGGACACCTCCTTCGGTGCACAACAGAAGTCCCTGATCTGTACTGCTAGCAAATGAATTTTGCTTGTCTTTAAACCTCATTTCACTATTTTGTTTTCCAATGTTTTGAGACAGGGTG